GTTTTGTGGTTTTCGGCAAAGTAGTTTGTAGTTTGTACAAACTAGTGCATTAAGAAATTTAAATCTTACAGTGACCCCCCCAAAAAAAAAAAAAAAATATATATATATATATATAAAAAAAAAAAAAATATATATATATATATATATATATATATATATATATACGCTGCACAGGTTTCCCCCAAACTGGGAGAGTGGCTACAGCAGATTCCAGGTAAAACATCAGAGGTCTCTGTCCAGAAGAGCGCAGTCCTAGGAACAGCTAAGATACTGCGCAGAACCCTCAAACTCCCAGGCCTCTGGTAGAGGACATATATATATATATATATATATATATATATATATATATATATATATATATATATATATATATATATATATATATATATATATATATATATATATATATATATATATATATATATATATATATATATATATATATATATATATATATATATATATATATATATATATATATATATATATATATATATATATATATATATATATATATATATATATATATATATATATATATATATATATATATATATATATATATATATATAAATAAAGAAAAAACGTTGGCAACCTTTATTCCCTAAGGTGGTATGTGGCTGAATTTCTACTTCACTGCGGTAAAAAAAAAAAAAAAAAAAACAGGTGTTTTGTATTGGCCTATAGAAAAATGCACATACCAAATGGCTCACAAGAAGTGACTGTGGATGAGATTACTGCACGTACGCATCCCCGCAGCATTGGCATGTTGCTCCACAGGCGCAGGGGGAGAACCCCGACCCCGTCGGACAGCACTTCTGAAAAACGAGATTGGGAGATCCCAGCTCTCGCTGCAACCGTACGCTGGAATGACCCAGATGCAAAAAAGTGCAATGTTGCAAGGAGTTTTGTGATATCTGGTATTGCGTGGGTCCTCCTTGTGGCTGGCTCCAAATCCATTCGGAGTTCCCCCAACAGCTCTAAAATGGCAATGCTGGATAAACGATATGTTTTGATGATCGTTTCCTCCTTCATTGCAAAAATATTCACACGGAGTGAAAAAATGCGTTCTCTGCGTCTCCTTGCTTCATTTCGATGTCTCCTTCTTGCGACAATAACCGCTGCCATGTGTGCGCAATTACGCATACAGACCATTTGCACCTTCTTTTGAAACATGTTAAATATAGAGTCAGATACCGTTAGCAAAATTGCTTTCAGGTTTAATAAATCACTTTGCGAGTGCTAAATTAATATATTTACATGTTCTCCTCCCACAAGACGCACTTTTGCGTGTAAACGCCCCATATTGCATATTCATTGCAGAAAAAGTACTAAATGGATAAGAGGCGCTATTTAGCACGTTTAAAAGATTAAATTCTTTTAGCACGCTGTTGATAGATCAGTTTGTAAATTTTTTAGCGTGCGCAGTGAAATAGCTCACGTTTTTATACACGCAAACCTTTGATAAATCCGGCCCTAAGTGTCTAAAGCCATTGATTCAAGTTTAGTTGGTAGCATGAGGTCAAAAAAAATTGAATAATAAATATATATTTTGCACATTTATAACTTTTATGTTAAACTGCACTCATTTTCTCATGTCCGCTCTGACCATTTTTCTCAATCGTGTAATGTAAAACTTAAGAAATATGAAATAAATCTCAAAATGTTTTTGTTGTTATGGTTAGAAATATTTTCCTCTTAATAGGAAATGTGTTAATTATATTAAAATGTCATATTTTTTTTATTGAAATAGCATGATTTTTCTATGTCCATCAATTTCATATTCCATATTTTGCGCCAAAATGCGATACACTTCCTAGAAGTGACATCACTAACATGAAGTGACATCATTCAAGAGTTTGAAGAAGACAAGTCCAAACAATGGTGAGTCTGTTTTTTCTGTAAGGTACATTTTTCTTTCAAAATCCTTTCTGTTAACCATAGCATATCCACCCCGTCACACACAAAAATAAGGAAAACAATTTGTTAATCAAATTCTGAAATTATATTTGTATTAATTATTCATTTTTCATTGTACTTCATTGCTAACGGCATTGAGCCATATTTCTTTAGATTTTCCTCCCCGTCACACTAAAGCCTGTGACGGGTTGGAATCATTGTGATGGGTGGCAACGTTCTTCATATTGAATTAATGCTGTACATCACATAAAAACATTTTTAAAAAAACCCACTTTGAACACACTATTGGTTTTTTTGAAAAAAAAAAAAAAGACACTTTCTGAAGTGAATAACATTTTGGTTTTATTACTTTTATCTAAAATGACCCTTTAATTTGTTAACCTTTGTCCTGTGACGGGGTGGAAAAAGAAACTAAAATATTCGCAGAAAATGGTGTCTGAGCTTGAAAAATATGTTTTATCGCAAGTGTTACATCTTCTACAGGCTATGAAACAAAAAAAAGAAAAAAAGGTTATGATCAAAAACCTCTAAATTCAGAGGTCCAATCTTTATACTTTCCATGGAATGACCCAATCGCAGTTTCTTTTCTTTGATTAAGGAATCTTTGAAACTAAGAATTGGTAATTATTTAAGATTTTAATAGCTGTTTGAATTTAACAGATTTATATTTATATTTTAACAGAGTTATATTTATAGATATCTTAACCCACTGACTGACCAAACTAACGCCTGAGCTTACCTAACATGGAAAGGAAACATTATGCACCAAATAATGCATAACATTATGACTACTGATCACTGCTTCTGCTTACTGGTGGAAACATTTGACAAGGAGTGAACATTTTTGTGTCTGAGTTGATGTAAAGACAGGAAATATAAGCAGCGCAGGAATCTGTACTATCTGATAAAGGCCAGATCATGATGAATTCCTGACTGGGTCAGATTAGCTACTAAATTCCTGCTCTTAAATTCAGTCTCAAATCTGCAGTGAACGGTTTAATAAAGGTGCTCCAGGTATGGAGGGTTGAGGGTGCAGAGTTGGTCTAATCCTAACAGACCAGCTCAAACGGCTGAAGAAGTTTTCATTCTGAAACAACAAGGTGTCTGATTAAGAGATTACTCTTTGTTTACCATCATACATCACTGTAACAATCTGCTACTCATCACCTGCCAGGTGTGCATGAGGCATGTTGACAGGTAGATGAAGCAAGCTGCACATTTTTAAATCTATGCATGGGTTGCTTTGAGCTGAATGAGGAGACGTCAGCTAACATTTAAATTTTTTTACTCCAATACCAGAGAGGTGATGTTATCTTTGAGCAGCATTAGTTTCTTGACATGTGTTTGGTCACAACAGCTTTTTTCCTCTTGTTTGATTTGTTCTTTCTGGATGTTGAAGAGTCTTGGATCTAGAAAGTGAAACATAAAATGGATTTAGTTTCAGAACGATGGCCGACTGTAGTCGCAGCTTTAGTATCGAGTGATTTATCCTAAAAACATGAGCGGAGGCCAGAGGAGCCCAAAAGTCCTGCTTTACTGCAGAATTTGCTGGCAGCGGAGATGGCTTCCTGTCTGGCTCTGGTTCCCCTCCTCGTCCAGAGTTCTTGGTAACTTCCTGTCTTTGTGAGACACCTCTTAGTCACACACTTGCAACCGTAGAGTGAAACGGCTTGAGAGGCCTTCATAAGTTGAGTATGTGTCTTACAGTTTTCAACGAACGAATCACAAGTTTGGCATTCTGTCTTAGCATCCATCCAACCGGAGAGCAGGAAACTGCCACCGTTCTGGCTTCTTGGCACATCAGCATAGCCTCCTTTGAGTAGTCCTTCATGCTATTATTAATGTAAATAATGTTACGGTATATTTGTTCTATGTTTTCCATGACCTCATCTGAAGTATTAAAGTATTTTGGTGAAAACAGAAGCTCTGATCTATTTTCTTCCCTCAACGTCCCCCATGTGAGAATGAACTTCCTCAAAATGAACACACGTTATCAGACGCTTTAAGAGCTCTTTATTATCCTGTGAGCTGGGGGGTTACTATGGCAACCAGATGAAGCGCAACCTCCAACAAGTCAACTTCTTCCTGTTTTGAGAGATTAGGCAGACGTGAGTTGACCGTCACTCCAGCGAGCTGATGTGTATTTTCAGCTGGACCAGATGATCCCGCTCTGATGCATCAGACGTGACTCACATGTGATGGAAACTCCAGAAAATTAACCAAAATAAACATGTTTCTCATCGTTATCGCAAAGCTTACACTGAAAACAATCGAACTCAAGATAAGTCATCTTTTTCTTAAAATCAGTGTATTTGTTCTTGGATTAAGCAGGTAAAAGACACATTTTGCCAATGGAACAAGACAAATTACACTCAAAATAAGAAAACTCAATTGCATTGTCTTATTTCAAGTGCATATTATCTAATTATCTTATTTTAAGAGTAAAAATACTCATTCCATTGGCAAACTATCTCATTCACCTCCTCAAATTAAGGGTAAATACACTTAATTTAAGGAACTTTTACTTATTTCTTGATCATTTTTCCAGTGTAGTTTGTCGGAATTGGAAAATAGAAAACAAGAAACTCTTTTAAACTTTTTTGTTTAAATTATCTATTTTTTTATTCTATTTTCTTTCTTTTGCCATTTGTAAAAAATGTATTTGTTGTATTTTCTACAGCATTTATCTTTAAAAGATTAGGAATTATTGTTAGAAATAGTTTTAAATGGGCTTATTTTTTTATATTTTATCAGACTTATTAGAAACTTATGTTCTTTTCATTTATTAAAATTGTATTAATGCGATTATTACATTTATTTTATCATATATTTTAACTCTTCATTTATTCACCATTTCAATTATTATTTGCTCTGTTTAATTGGTCTGATTCAACATCTTGAAATAGGTAAAAAGAAAATGTAAAGCTATTTAATAAATATTATTTTTATATATAAAAAAGTTATGAAATTTAAAACTGTTCATATCTTTTCAAAATAATTTTTTTGTTTACTTTTTTTGTTTACTTCCATTTGTTATTTTCTTTTTAATGACTCAAATTCATTATTTATTTACTTTCTAGGTCTACCAGAGGAAAGCACCGTTCAGACGCCTGCCTTCACAGACTCAGTACGACGCTACAGACAAGCCAAAGGACACTACGGCACCTGGGAGATGATGTGCGGAGCGCCACCGCAGGTCAGGACCTAAAATTATTCATGATCAAATATGCCTCTCTAATGTCTGCGGTTCTTCACAGAAATGCTGTGGGAGCCTTTATGTGTCAGCGAGCCACGCCTCACTGGAAGGGAGGATTGTGACTAGGTTGACGTGTTTTTTTTCTTCAGGTTAAATATGGTGAAAGTATTTCTCTGGAACAGTTCAGAGCAAGGTGCTTTAAATGCTTTTCAGGGAGAGGTTTCTCTCCAGTTTGTGTGGCACATCACTGAAATACACACTTCTGATTAAGATCTCCCCTCTAAATAACTTCCTTTACGTTTCTGCCAAACCTTTGTACTTCTTACTTTTATTTGATAAACTTCAGTTAATCCAAGTTAATGTTCCATTTCCTGATGAGAGCCTCATTTACAAAACCACAGACACAAACAAATGTGTTTGTAACCAGCAGCCAAGGACATTTTGCATTAATATTTTCATTTTATTGTGGTTAGATTACAAAACTATGTTGTTTTACCTTAAGTTTTCAATACTTCAAGACAAACACAAGCAATCATAGTTTGTCAGTTATGGATAATTTACCTTATTCATAGTTTCCAGACCAACTTTTTCTAGAAACACACTTAAATAGCTTTACCCTGGTGTCTACAGTCTGAATATAAGGCTTAAAAATCCTTTGTCTTTTACCTGACTGATGTCATTTGGACTTCAAGTTGCCTCGGGGGAATATTGGAGGTATTTGGAAACATGCAGTAACGTATTTCTCTGCTCTTTTGCACCTGTGGGGCATTCCTGAGACTTTATGGGAGAGAAATTCAAAGCAGCGGCTGTAAAACATTTGATTTGAATCCTTTGGGTGGGACAAAATTACCAAAAGAGGAGACGGTTATAAACAAACTCGACTTAAGCCTTGTACATTTTTTCTTTCACACAGGCTGCAGATAGCTGTTTGCTTATTGCTAATGAAATGTGCCGCGTTTATCTTGATCGGACTAAAAACATCCGAAATGGTGAAAGATATTTCCTGAAGATCAGAAACTTTCTTTAAATAAATCAAAGCAGCATTTTTTTAAATTCAGGAATGTCTCTGAATAGCAACTTATATTAAAATCTGATTGTTTAAGGGTTTTAAATGTTTGTGACTGAAATAAAACCTCAATATTAGCACAGGTGCTGCTTGTTAGTCCTGCTCAGTTCAGGACTAACAAGCCTTTGGATAAATAAGCTACAATAGTGATGTTTGTCAGGGCCTCTCTTCTTTAAGCGTCCACTCATCACTCCGAACAATGTTCCAGCAAATATTTAAACCATAATGGAGGAGCTGAGGTCCATGAGCTCCTCTGTTTCTGTTTGCAGGGCAGAGTCAGTTAAAACATCCCCCCTCGTCTCATTACTCTCCCCACTGTGTCCATGAAACAACACAGGAAAGAGGGAGTGTTGTTTTTTCAAGGTTCATCTGTTTTTTCCCCTTAATTGGACGATAATAGCAAGGTTCAAAATCAGGGAGAGCTTAAAAAATATTGATGGTATGATAATAATATGCTATTTGATGCCAAGTAATGTTAAAAATTTTATCTTTGTATCTTAATTTGGTTTTTATTTACAAATTAAAGCATGCAATGTACGTATTTATTTTTTCCAATTTTCTTCCATATTTACTTTAAACTCTTCATTTCATTTGTGGAAGCTGATTTCTGTAGCTTACTAAGCTAAATACAAAATTTCTCTACATCTTACACCCAGTGAAATAACTATATATATATATATATATATATAAATATAAATATCCATCATCTATATAAATACCCATGTAAACACCCTAGGCAATAACCCTATATAATAATCCTACTATAAAAGAAAACCATATGTGGATGCACTATATATACTGTATATATCCCATGCACCTTTTTCTTCCTTTGACACCTTCTTCTTCTTCGACTTTTTGAGCTAAAATTCTCCACTGTGAGATCAATTAATCAATCAATCAATCAATCAATCAATCAAATGATAGCTAGTACTTACTAGCTACCAGTGGTGGCTGGTGGTTTTCTCCAGGGGGGGCTATAAATTCAAAATTGACGTATGACAACAACCAATCAAACATATACTAAGTTATCACGTCAGTATATTTATATGAATGCCAAAAACAAAAAATATTATAAAAACATAGGTTCATGTGCAGGTCCATAGTTGTATATTGGTTATTTATTCTCCTGGTGCAAAGTATTTATATTGTAAAAATAATTCAATCTGAAAAACTCACAGAGAGAGAAAGATGCAATTAGAAGAGTTTATTGATACAATAGTTTGAACTTTGGCGCTCAGGCCTTGGCAGGAAACATAAACGCTGATTTATACTTTAATGCAGATAAACTGATGTATGAGAATAAGGATATTTCCCCCGGGGATGAAACTGGTGGTGGAGTTTAGATGAATGAAGTTTGGTTAATCCATAGAGGCTGGTATACAGGGTGATGCTTGAGTTAGATGTCATTGAATGAACAAGGTTTGCATAAACTGTCCATGAACTGTCCATGAACAGCAAGCATGAAGCGACTGTGGAGAGAAAAAAATTCCCCTTTGGGAAGAAATCTCTGGCAGAACCAGGCTCAACGTGGCGGTCTTCTGCCGGACCGTTTAAAGTGACAGGGAACTCCATGAAAGTCTGGAGGGAGTACACACTGGAGATGAGGTTGAAGGAGCATCGTGGAGGAGTCGGATGGGCTTACTACAATGGTGGAGAAGGGGATTGGGTTGGGTTGTCTAAATCAAAGTCCGACATAGGAGCGACGGATCTTGCGCTTGTTGAAGAGCAGGCCTAGAGATGATTTGGAGTAGCTTTTAAGTTGAGTGCTGGAAGATGATTGGGCATCGAGGAAATGTAGCTTGAAGCGGATTGGCTGCATCGGAGGCGGATCAGCCTCAGATTGAATGGAAGTAATGGAAGAGTTTCTTCAGTTGAATTTCCGCCTTAGCTTCATTTTAAAGTACAGAATGTTATTTGTTTATTGAATTTTTTTTTTAACTCTCTACGATTATGTTATTTTTATTTACTTGTCTAAGGTCAACATTTGTGTTACCACTTTTTTTATCTTTCTTTTGCTGTAACACTAGAATTTTCCCCATTGTGGGACAATAAAGGGATTTTCTATTCTATTTTATGCTAGGTTTACTTTTTTACGCTCGAACCAACTCCTGCAAAAACTCCTATTGTAGACTTTATTTTTTTCCTTAGTCTGCTGGTTGATGATAAGGTCAGGCTTGTCTGGTCCCAACTCTTTAACCAGGATTTTCTCCTCCATTGTTCTTCTGGCAAACGGGTAGATAAATAAGGATCTCACCGAATTTGGTGGAAGCTGCTCCTCGCTCGCTACGTTCGCCATCATCCCTCTAATTGTCTGCACCTGCACATTGGGTGCAGAAGCCTGTTAAAGGGCAGTATTTTCAGAGCCCCAAGTCCATAAAATTCTGAGACGCTGATTGGCCATTAAATTATTGAATAGCAGTAGTACATGATTGGCAGATTCTCTGAACTTGTGGGGCAGTCTGATCAGCGCCCCAAGATAGAGACGGTAGGAGTCTGTCTGTGGAAATCCACAAATGAATGACAGTAGGTTGGGAAATGCTTATAGGTACACACTCTAGAGAGTAAAACTGACATTTATGAGTTAATTTGTAAAAATATATTTTACGTTTCTCTCTTCTTATCAGGGAGGGCGGTGCCCCAGCTCCCCCTATGGGCCGGCCGCCACTGCTAGCTACCTATCTTGTCTGTTCATTAATAATTTCGACATTTATCCTTCTGTTTGTTCAACAAATATCCATTTATCCGTCCCCCCATCCTTATTATACTCTATCTAATTGATCAGATACATGACTGTTGAAACTGCTTTACAGATTCTGGCTAATCTTGTGATGGAGACTCTCCATCCGGAGCTCAGAGATGTGATCGCTCCTCGTCTGAAGGGGAAGCTGCAGCAGAGGCAGAGGAATTGGATGTTGGTGAGCTCCTGCCGTTTGAACGCAGCCTGCCATGTTTTCAGTCCATGCTCTCTTATACCGTCTTCTCTATTTTCAGATTTCCGATGCCGTGTACAGGCAGGTGCTGACTCAGTGCAGTGGTCAGTATGCAGCTCTGGCTAACGAATGCGAGGCCCAAAAACCTTCATTAGATGTCAGACTGCGAGGTGAAATGGACATGCTCATCACATCCAAGGAACACATCATCGGCAAGATAAAAGGTGGCAAGATGAAAATCCCTTCTCGATCATACCTCTTACTTCCACTCAACTGTTTAGTCAACAGTCCTGCCTATGATTAACATATTCCGGGTACAAAGTAAGCCATAATCTTCTAAATGACATAAAAATAAAAGATAAACATATATATTAATCGAAAAATAATTATGTATAACATTAAAACAATATCCAACAAGTAAAATTTCTCAAAAAGCTTGTGAAAATTTTAGAAAATGAAGACAGATGTACAGAGAGCATGCAGCCTCAAACTCCAACCTAGGCTCAAAAGCACGTCAGACATTAATGAATCATTTCCTGTTTTAGTTTCTTCTCTAAAGCCCAATTTAATACGATTGGTCAAATATGACAACAGTGGGAAGTTTTCCCTCCATCAGTTCTGAGATGTATGAACTTTGAAGGAAATGAGTTTTATGGTGATGTCATTATGCAAAGCACAAAAAGGCAGCTCTGCAGCTTCTCCTTTTATGGGAAGGAATACCTTCCTTCTGTCTGTAATGTTAATTATGTGGAAAGGTTTTATATTCCACTTGTGGTTTAGTTTTCAGCATATTTTAAGCCAAATTTACTTAAGTCATGTGATATAATCTGCTTAAACCTGAAGCAAACGTCTCATTGTTCACTTCTTTGAGTAGATTGGGCTGCAGCATCTCTGTTTGATGTTCAGGTTTATTAATTTCCCTCCAAATCTCCCTACATGTTGCTCGTTTCACCAGATTTTTTTTCCCTGTTAAGCATTCATTCATTAAAATGCAGCTTCCGTCGGGGAAACTTTTAAACTTGGTTTAAACGGTTGTACTGGTCTGTAAAAACACAACAGATTAGGGAGTATTTGCACTTTGTTCTCAATTCCCCTTTTTTCCCTCATTTCTTTCCTCCTGTGCACCTTTTTCTGACTCTTAGCTCTTCACATACTTACTGCCTTACTTTTTGTCATCTTATTTTCTTTCATTCTTCCTTCTTGTTCTTTAATTTCTCCTCCATCATTTCTTCTTTTCTCACTTTCCTTAAACCCTTTTTACTTTCAGCTAATCTGATCTCAAAAATCTTTAATTTGGACATGAAAAGCATGAAGGAAGCCTGTAGTTTAAGTTTGCTGCTGTCCAATGAACTTGACACATCTAAAGAGTAGTAAACAATGAATTCAGCTGCTCCAACTGGGCATGCTTCTGTTTTTTTTTTTTTTTTTTTTTTTTTGCTTGTTATTAAGGTGAAGTGGAAGATCTGCATTCCAACCAAGCTCTGAACATGTTGCAGTCTGCAAATGCTCAAAAAGAACACGTCACGTTTGCAAAAGCATGCTTTTATTATCTCAGAGACCTTCAGGCTGTTTTATGGATCATGTTTGTTCTGTTTGTGAAAACAGATCAGATTTAGTGTGAAGGTAAATCAACCTAAAAGCGATGAAAAAGCGCAGACTGACGCCTCTGTTGGTGTTTTACTCCTGATATTCAGCTCTCGTGATGCCGAAAGCAGAGCAGCTCCTCCGCACCAACATCCAGCCCTACATCGGCTCCATCCTGGAGGCCCTGATGGAGCCCACCAGTCGGGGATTTTCTGAGGTCAGAGACGTGTTCTTCAAGGAGGTGGTGGAGATCAGCAAGAACTCCCTTAACGGAGGTGGCAAAGAAAAGCTGGGAGAGGTCAGTTTCACTGAATGGGCATCATAACATCTAAAAGAATGTGTTAAATTAGAAGCCAGGGAGTGTCAGGAACTATATGACTAACCCTAAGATCATCTGTTGTGGTGTTACGTTTCTCTAAACTATCCCTGAACTTGACAGAGTTCCTCTTGTATTTGTCTGTCCTTCAGCAGCTGGACAGGCTGTCCATGCTGGCGTTCCACCCGGTGAAGATGCAGAGCTGCTATGAGAAGATGGATCATCTGAACCTGGAGGGGCTGCAGCAGAGGTTTGATGTTTCCAGCCCCTCCGTGTTCGTCAGCAGAGCCCAGATCCTCATGAGGGGGGTGAGCCACCAACACATAAACTCAACCAACCTCTACAATATGGATTACTCTGCTGCCACCTGCTGGAGAAAAGGAAAATTACCTTTATCAGAGGGTTTTATAAAGAGCTTTTGAGCAGAGGATGAAAGAATACTTCTCTCTTTCCAGACTCCTGTTCCAATGTTCTGTTTATCCCACCATTCATTAACCGTCCATTTATTTCTAAGGCTGCATGAAGCTGAAAACCTAAAAAAAAGTACTAACTTTTACTTAAGTTAATGTATAGATATCTGTGTAAAAAAAAAACTGTGTTTTGATTGATCTCCTTTACTTAAGTAAAATTATTAAATATAAAATATAATGTGAACAGTATAGTAAGAGTCAATTTAAAAATAAATGAATTTAAAGACCATTTAAAGTATAAATAAATATTTATTCTCAGTTTGTCACATTACAGAAATATGTTTTATTAATAGTCACCCATCCTAATTTGAAGGATTAAAAACACAGCTTAGCATATAAATTTAAGTCTCCAAATTAATGAAAAAATGTCGGTTTTTCTCCCCGTGGGATGCTGGTGGCGTGTCCACTAGGGACGCTGAAACTGTGCCCTATTCTATTTCACTTCAGCCTTCTAAATATTAACATTAAATAAATAAAGAAAGAATATTGCCGTTTGTAAGAATACTTTTTAAAATATCCTCTGCTCTCTGTGCTTTCATCTCTAACAGCAAATGGACGATGCTGTGTACACATTGGAGCAGCTGCTGCACCAGTCTTTAGAGTCTCAGGGAGAGGAGGACCTCTGCAAAAACATCCAGAAATGCCAGGACAGAGTTCTTAAGGTAAACCAGCAGCAAGGAAAATATTGAGTTATTTTTTTTAGAGATCTCTGAGTAAGAATGTTAACCTCTGTTTGTTCTGTGGTAGAAATATGATTACGACAGCAGCACAGTGCGCAAGAAGTTCTTCAGAGAGGCCTTGCTGCAGATAATCATCCCCTACATGCTGCAGCAGCTCGCACCATCCTGCTTACCTGTAAGCTACACAAAACACTAGCTACAATCCTGCATTGATTTTTAGTCATGTCTTACTTTGCTGGTGAAGATTCTCAGTCATCCAGGTCATTGTCATTCTAAAAAAAGTAAAAAAAAAACAAAAAAAAAAACCACTCTACTTTGTTTTTCAAGTTTTGCTTCCCATCCAGGACATTTTGAATTGAAAAAGCTTCCTGGATGAGAAGTGAAACGTCTTCAAAGTCCAGTGTTTTTTTTTTTTTTTTTTTTTACTTTTTTTACTTATGTTCATTTGAAAACCAATTTAACACATAAAGAAATAGATTTTTTTTTTTAATAAAAAGCTAAACGTCAGGTCATATGAAGTGGATTTTGTTCCATTATTGTTGCAAGAAAAGAACATGTTTTTGTAAATTGAAATTTTATAAAGATTCAGAAATTAAACTTAAATGTGTTTTGACTTTAAGTTTGCTGCTTTCTCAGATTTCAGATTAAGAATTGCATTTTTAAAACCTAATCTGGAAAAAGAAATTTTAAAGCTGATCCAGAACGCTGCTGCCCGTGTCCTCACTAACACTAAGAAAGTAGAGCACATCACCCCAGTTGTAAAGTCCTTACACTGGCTCCCTGTATCTCAGAGAATAGACTTTAAAATACTTGTGTTAGTCTATAAATCTCTGAATGGCTTAGCACCTAAATACATCACAGACTTGCTATCAGTGTATCAACCCTCCAGACCACTCAGGTCTTCTGGCTCCAGCCTGCTCTGCATACCTAGAACCAGAACTAAACTAGGAGAAGCAGCATTTAGTTCGTATGTTCCACTTATCTGGAACAAACTTCCAGAAAACTGTAAAAGTGTGGAAAGCCTGAGATCCTTTAAATCAAGACTAAAAACACATTTGTTTAGGATTGCCTTCGACTGTTCTAGTTAAACAGTTCAACAAAAACATGTTTTCTTTAATCCAACTGTTTTTAAGATTCTTTTTTTGTTTCTGCATTTTTTTATTTTATTTTATTTATTTTTTATTTTTTTCTACTTGCGTTGATTCTGTTTTATCTTCCTGTATTTTAATCATGTAAAGCACTTTGCATTGTCTTTGTACTGAATTGTGCTATACAAATACATTTGCCTTGCCTTGCCTTGCCTTAAAACGTAAAATTTGAATAGAAAACTTGAAAATAAAAAAAATGGAAAAAAGAAAAACAATGAGAAAAAAAAATAGAAAAAAATTTTAAGAAAACAACACAGTAATAAAAAAATGATTTTGAGAATAATTTTGACAAAACTGTTTTGATGAAGACAACGTTTGAAGTTTTATCTCTAGACTGCATCTCTTTAAATTTCCATTTACAAATCATGTTGTTTGCTTGCACAAAAATGGGGGAAAAAATTCTGAGAGGTTCTTATCGATTGATTTATTTCCACAGGAGCTTCCTCGCTTCAAGGAGTTCATCTTTGAGGACTTGTCCAGTTTCCTGCTGGTAGAGAACATGTATGAGGAGGTGGTTCTGCAGTCTGTCTCCAAGGACATAATGATGGGTGAGGAGGAATGTTTTCAGTTAGTGTTAGAGAGCAGTAATGACCAACTATTCTTTCATATCTTTGAGTCGCCTTGCAGACAGAAGGTCCCTGGTTCAAATCCTGTTCCTTTTTTGTTTATACGTTCTCTCCTTGCATGCTTTGGTTCTTCCTGGGTACACAGGACTGTTAGACTAAATGCCTTTCATCAGTTAGTTTGTCATAATGTGTTTTAAAGGTCTGACCCAAAGATGCAGAGAACCACTCAGAGAACCAGGAAAAGGTTTTAACAGGTTTATTGGGATGAGGGTACAGGGGAAGTGTGATCAGGAACTTGGATGTCTGGAGGGGATATCACAACGGTTAGTTCAGGAACCGTGGGAATCTTGAATACAGTAGGGAAAATGCTAGTGAGGGACTCACGTTAAGGGGGGTTCTTCTCTCATTAGCATCTAGTCTTTGGTGCTTGATCAGAGAAGAGGGAACATGTTGAACAGTGGACAGGCAGACATTCTTTGGACCCGGAGGAGCACTGGAGCGGACTGTCATTTGGTTTTTCGTGAGGGACTTGAACGGCACATGTGGAGGTTTCTCCCCTGCTCAGTGTGAACTCGGTAAACAATCCTTCCAGGGGAAGAAGGCCAAACATCCAGTATGCAGGAGGACTTCCTGCCAAAGGCAAAGACAAAAAACAAGGTTAGACTCAGAGAGACAAAGACTCAGGTTAGACTTTGCTAATCTAAGCATGGCTAGAGTACCCAAAACTGGCAAACACTCGATCGAAGGTATCGAGGTAGTGACAGTCCACTGCTTAAGTACTCCTCCAGATAATGATCCAAAGAGCCGCAGGTTTGCAGGGAGGACCAACAATGACAGGGTGCCACCTGGTGGTGGAGGGAGAGACAGACACAAAACAGACCACACAAACTGGATTCCTGACACTTCCTCTATTTGATCCCTCATTAATGTAGAAATATTGAGAATATAGTAAAGTGATTTATTTGCTGACATAAGGCCTTTTTTGTTTTTCTATTCCAGCTGTGAAGGAGGCAGCTGTGCAGAGGAGACACAATCTGTACAGAGACAGCATCATTCTGACCAACAGTGACCCCAACCTTCACCTCCTGGAGGACACGCCCCCGGTGGACTGGGGCGAAAAGTTTGGAGCCGACGATCCTGACGGCTCAGATGGCAGCGAGGCGGAACAAAAGGGCTTTAGAGGAAGACGTAAGCAGGTGGTGTCAATGATCCAATTGGAGGGTCTGCCTATACAATATGAGTCCTGTCTGGAGGTCCCAGGAGTGGATCTTATTCCTGAGGAGGACGGGGAGGACTCGGAGGACCTCGGTCCATCTGAGGATCCCAAGTCTCCTGATAGTGTGGATCAAATCAGGGATCTGATCAATCCAGTGGTGGAGGTTGTGCTGCCAGTTCCAGAGGAGAACGTAGAGGACCTCACCAGCGGGACCGAGACGGCCAACGGCACCATCACCATGGACGGGCTGCAGGAGCAAGTGAAGCACATCACCACCGTTGTGGAGGACGGAGACAAGAAATCCCCGAGAGACAAATCGTCTCCACGGTCCATCATTGAGGAGCTGGTAGGGAGCAGGAAGCAGGAAACTGAGCTCCAGGAAGAGGAAGCCATCCAGAGAGCCATTGAAGAAATGGAGATGGCGGTGCAGGAGGAGGACAGCGAACCACCGGCAGAAGCTTTAACATCAGAATCTGATTTTGAGTCACAGCCATTAGCTACAGACTGCAGCTCTCGCAACGACAGCGGCTTCCAGTCCCCAACCAATGACACTGAGCCGGAGCCGGTCACAAACGGTTCAACCGGTGAGGAGAAACTAACCGACCCGGCGGATGTGGAACTGCTCCTGGTATAGAAAACCAGCGCCCGCCCTCAAACTGTAAAAAATAAAAACCACAAAAGCGTATAAACTATTTATTACTGTGTTTCAGACTTTTAAATTGAACCAATCACTGAAATAAAGACTTAATTGTATCATGCCCATCATTTTACAGCCTGTTTTAACCAGCTTTGTTACAAACTGCATCAATGTGCCTTATTGAGGTGTTATGCGATCAGCAGGGGGTGCTATAACTAACAACTCTTTCATGTTTCCACTGTCTGTAACGCGTTCGCTCAGAGCACTTCTTATATTTATGGTCTTTAACACAATGATTGATTTAAATATATTGATGTGTTTATAGTAAATAAATGGATGAATAAATCAAAATCATATGTATCTGCTTAATTATCTACCACACATGGAAGAATTGAAACTGACAATGAAACCAACAAAGGATTCTTTAGATTAATGATCCCAAACATAAAAAAGGAGTCTTATAAGTAGAAACTATTCAAGAAACTATTTCTAGCAATAGCCTTTGATGGAAGTTCTCTAGCGTTCCTGTTTGGGTTCTGATTGCCTGATCCTGACCCGTTCTGCTTCTGGATCTCTGAGCCTGCCTGTCCCTGCTCTGATCTGTTTGTCTGAACTGTCTTTGGACTCCTGCTGGATTCTGCCTGAGGGCTGAACCTGGATTTGCTTACTGACTTCGACACCTCTTCGGTACCTCTGATCTTCTGGTCCTGAATCCTGAGCACATCCTCTGACTTTGCACTGTGGATAATCCTGCCTTCCTTTATCTGTTATGGATCTGACCTCCTGTCAGTTCTGCAGCCTTCAAGGCTTCAGCATATGGAACTCTCTAGCAGCGTCCCCTGCGTATTGTCAGCCAACCGGCTGGAATCAACCTCATTCTCTGGGCACGGACTGAACTCTAAAGCCAGGTTAGTGACTCACGTGTTCATATTCATACTCCGCCAGATTATCGTTGTCACTAACCTGTGTTTTTCCAGCAGAGATTCCTGCCTTAAACATCCTAACCGCTGCTACTGCAGGTCCACAGTTTGTTTGTAAATAAATGCTTTTTGAGTAATCCCACTGTTTTGCGTTGTGACACTATGTCTAAACCTTTAAGCTTCTGGAGATCTGGGAGGCTGCATCTGGAGATCTGGGAGGCTTCTTGCTGTCTGCTGACATTCAAATAATGGAGGTCTATGGTGCCCGAGGCAGAAAGGTCCATAAAAGTCCACAAAAAACGTGTCAATATTCCTCCATACTGCTCATCCAATGTATTCCAAGTGTCCTGAGTGGGTAGCATCCAGAATGTACTTGAAACAAAGTCATTTAGAATGATTTTAGAGCATAAACAGTAGTGTATAGGATTTCCTGAAAGCGCGCGCCTGCGCGTTCACGAGTCTACGGAAACCGCGGCAGACCAAACCAGATGAAAGTGCGCATTTAGCGTCTGCTCTGCCGATAATGCAAGCGTAGAAGAAGAAATGTGCTGTTTACCTGTGCAAAGAAAGAAACAACGAAAGAAAAATGTCTGAGGACTTCAGTGTTGAGGAAGAGCATGAGTTCTTTGCCGAGCTGAATGCGCACTTTCATCTGGTTTGGTCTGCCGGCTTCCGTAGCGTTGTGATCGAGCATGTGCGCGCTTTCAGGAAATCCTATACACTACTGTTTATGCTCTAAAAATATTCTAAATGACTTCGTTTCAAGTAAATTCTGGATGCTACCCACTCAGGACACTTGGAATACATTGGACGAGCAGTATGGAGGAATATTGACACGTTTTTTGTGGACTTTTATGGACCTTTCAGTCTCGGGCGCCATAGACCTCCATTATTTGAATGTCAGCAGACAGCAAGAAGCCTCCCAGATCTCCAGATGCATTTGAGATATCAAAAAAGTACTCCAGAGTGTTGTTCAGCATGGGGGTGAGTAGAAAATGAAGGCTAATCATGTTTTGGGTGTACTATTCCTTTAAGCAAAAGGCAGGTATTAGTTGAACAGAATCAAAAATCAATAAAATAATCCTTACATTATCTAGGTACAATTTAATTTGAATACAAAATATTTCAAAGGGAGCTACTTATTTTTTCATCAGCAAGAATTGTTATTGGCAGATGTTTGTCAGAGAATTCAGGAAGGTTCTGGTAATTACCACAGAAGTCCACTGGGTGGAGCTCTTTCACACATTTTATTACTGCTTTGAATTTTTCTTTTTGCAACAATAATTTCCTTAGTCAAGTTTTCTTTACTAATTGTTGTGTATTTATTAAAAAAAAAGAAAAAATGAAATTGTTAAAGAAATTTTGGTTTGACTTTTGTTGTTAACAATAAACTGAAACTTTAATTTAACTTTAAGGTTAAAATTTCAAGCAAACTGTCTTAATGGATAACATTTTTTTTTCAATAATCACTTCTTCAATCAGAATCAGAATCAGAAATACTTTAATAATCCCAGAGGGAAATTACTTTTGTTACACGCTCCAGATACAGTTTTATACAATATATACACACATCCAACTATACAATATAATAAAGATAAAAAAATAAGAATAAAAAGAGATAAAATATATACACATATAGCTCTTCTGTATATATACCTGTAGGTATATCTATGCATATGTAAAAACTAAATCCAAATAAAGTGAAAATCCAAGTAAAGTGGTAATCATGTATTTATTATTATTTATCCGGTACAACTATATTTTCTTGTTTAAAAGTATGTTTTGATGTTATGCATACAAAAGGTAGTTTAAGAAGTTTCTGAATAAAATATTTTTATGCAGCAGATTTCACATAAACCTTTTACTGAACATTTCTACGATCTTAAATCTGAGTTTTATTTGAGGGATTAATATAAATGCTTTATTTTTAGCTTAATTCATGAAACTTTCAGTTGGAATTGTTTATATTATTATTTATCATGATCAACTGAAATTATTAAATTATTTTACATTTATCTTAGGGAAAGTTTTAAATAGATTTTGCAGGTATTTTAACAACCAAAAACCATTCTTACAGAATAAAATCCATGTTCCTTGGTTATTGGCATTGTTATACAGAAGAAAACAAAACATTGGCCTTATATACATAAATATCTTTAGGATGATGATGAGCGAAATCTGGACAAGCAAAAACTCGATTTTGAGCTGCATAACAATAAGGGCCGGATCTATCAAAGGTTTGCGTGTATTAAAACGTGAGCTATTTCACTGCGCACGCTAAAAAATGTACAAACTGATCTATCAACAGCGTGCTAAAAGGATTTGGTCTTTAAAACGTGCTAAATAGCGCCTCTTATCCATTTAGTACTTTTTCTGCAATGAATATGTAATATGAGGCGTTTACACGCTAAAGTGCGTCTTGTGGGAGGAGAACATGTAAATATATTAATTTAGCACTCGCAAAGTGATTTATCAAACTTGAACGCAATTTTGCTAATGGTATCTGACTCTATATTTAACACGTTTCAAAAGAAGGTGCAAATGGTCTGTATGCGTAATTGCGCACACATGGCAGCGGTTATTGTCGCAAGAAGGAGACATCGAAATGAAGCAAGGAGACGCAGAGAACGCATTTTTTCACTCCGTGTGAATATTTTTGGAATGAACGAGGAAACGATCATCAAAACATATCGTTTATCCAGCATTGCCATTTGGGAGCTGTTGGGGGAGCTCCGAATGGATTTGGAGCCAGCCACAAGGAGGACCCACGCAATACCAGATATCACAGAACTCCTTGCAACGGTGCACTTTTTTGCATCTGGGTCATTCCAGCGTATGGTTTGTAGCGAGAGCTGGGATCTCCCAATCTCGTTTTTCAGAAGTGCTGTCCGACGGGGTCGGGGTTCTCCCCCTGCGCCTGTGGAGCAACATGCCAATGCTGCGGGGATGCGTAATCTCATTCACAGTCACTTCTTGTGAGCCATTTGGTATGTGTATTTTTCTACAGGCCAATACAAAACACCTGTTTTTTTTTTGTTGTTTTTTTTTTTTTTTTACTGCAGTGAAGTAGAAATTCAGCCACATACCACCTTAGGGAATAAAGGTTGCCAAAGTTTTTTCTTTATATATCACTGTAAGATTAAAATTTCTTAATGCACTAGTTTGCACAAACTACAAACTACTTTGCCGCAAATCACAAAACGCGCAAAACCATCATTTAAATAGGGCGTCTCCAACAGTTTTGCACCTGCCACCAGTTACGCAATCGCTCTTGTTAAATCACCCGCAAACCATGGTTCAGCCCCTCGCGCAAAATCCCAGTTTGCGAGCGCAAATTACTGCACGCAAAATTGGATCTTGATAAATCCGGCCCAATGTCTCTAAAGTCTTCTGAATATCTCCTTTATTTGTGTTACACTCAATCTCCTTAGAAATATTTTTAGATTATACCTATATAGGTGTTATGTGTAGAGTTTTGAGATGGAAAATATCATATTATCTAATTCATAATGAGAATGTATTGTACCATTATATAAAATACCTGCAGCACTGAATACATTCTGCTTTGAATTTTTCTTTTTGCAACAACAATTTCCTTGATCAAGTTTTGTCTAGTAATTGTTTTGTATTTATTAAAAAACTGAAACTGTTAAACAAATTTGGTTTGACTTTTGTTGTTAACAATAAATTGAATCTTTTTTTAATACAAAAATTGTTTTGCTCCAGATTTCAAAGAAACTGTCTTAATGGATACATTTTCCCCCCCAATAATCACTTCGTCAATCATGTATTTATTATTATTTATTCCGTATAACTATATTTTCTTGTTTAAAAGTATGTTTTGATGTTTTAAATGTTTTATTTTTAGCTGAATTCATAAAACTTTCAGTTGAACTTGTTTATATTATTATTTATTATGATCAACTGAAATTATTAAATTATTTTAAGCTTATTTTAGGGAAAGTTTTGAAAAAAATTTGCAGGTATTTTAACAACCAAACCATGGATAGGATTTATAAAAAATATTCTTACTGAATAAAAACCTTGTCCCCTGGTTATTGGCATTATTATACAGAAGAAAATAAAACATTAGCCTTTGGTTAGTATTGTTCTTATTGCATTAAAATCCTTTAATAATTCTTTTCATTTTCATTTATTATTTTTGTGAAATTTATATATTCTTTCTTGGTATATAGGGATACATTTTTTCTAAAAGAAAAATCTAAATTTCTAATATTCACAGCACTTTTCCTCAAGTTTAAAATAACAGATTATATTCCACTCTAAATGAAGCTTAGGTGGAAGTTCAACTGAATAAACTGCTTCAATTTACCGTCACCCAATCAGAGGCTCACCTGTCTGTGAAGCAGCCAATCAGCATTCAACTGCACCACCTCTTAATCCAATCAAAATCCAGAGTCCATTTTAAAAGCACTTTCATATCTACAGCTCAGCCTTCTACCCAACAAGCCAGCTAATTACATTGGACATTTAAAGCACAGATTGTCCAGATCATTTATAGTTTTTCACACTGCATTAGATTTTGTTAATTTGCTTGTGAAAAGGATTGACTGTTATAAATTGATCTGTTCTGATTTAGGGTCGTGACTCATAATGAAAGAGCTCGTCTCACAAAGCATTCTGGGATATATCTGCTTTTCTTATGACCAATGTTAATACCTTCTTTTCAAGGTGCATTGTGGGAAATTTGGATTCCACTACTTTTTCATCCACTAAAATGGTGCAACCTCTATAGTGCCCTTTATAGTGATTAGGGCGTACATTCGGACACAGCCATGGAGTCTGAGTGAGTCATATTTATTCACTACCTCCTTTATTCGATGTGACTGCCCAAAACTGTGGCTGTAAGGTCTGCAATGCCCGTCTTGGCAGCAATCCCAAAATTCGGTGTTGGACACCAATGGTGTAAATATCGGTAAGCAGAGACAGCATTGCTTACGGGCCTATGACCTCTTAGGGGCCCCATCACTGACACCTGGTGGGCCCACTATGCAATTCTAGACTAAGGCCCCGTCCACACGAAGTCAAAACGAACACGAAACGCTAATATTTTCCAGAACGTTTGTCGTAAAGACGTAGACATAAAATAAATGTGATCGTCCACACGAATGCATGAAAACGCTGTAAAATGTATGCCAGGCCTGTAAGTGGCGCTGTGGTGCCAAAGCAAAAATAGGCGAAAACAGGCAACGAAATGTTGGGCATGCGCAGTAATATTTATACAACAACCAAACCGGAAAACCGGAAAATGGCCCTGCGGGTCCATTTTCATGGTTCAGTCAAATTCAGGTGATGAACTATGTCGTCGATATTGCTCTGTTCTTCCTGGAGATATTCCAGAAGAAGAAGATTCTGTTGTAAGCCCAACAGCAGGGTGAGTAGCATGAGCAGCAACCATTCAACACAGTACGGCGCCATTGTTGTTGTGATACTGTGTCGCGCATGCGTGTTTAGAGGCGACGCTATGACGCATGCGTGTAAAAAAAAAAATGCGGTTAGAGCTTAAAGATGGAAACGCGAAAACGGCGTTTCAAAATCTTCCCACTCTGAAGGCTGAATAAAAAAAAAAAGATTGTTTACAGACCCCCGAAACGCCGGCTTCGTATGGATGAGAGGCTGGTTTGGTGAAAAATGTGTGCGTTTAGGCCAGGGTTTGACTTCGTGTGGACGGGGCCTAAGGCGTCTCTTTGCAGATGTAATGGTGCAGAAAATTCCTCTTAAACCCACCTGATACTTCACAGGCTGACCGCACCGTATTTATACCACAACACATGCCAGATTTCAACATGATGGTGAGCCGTTTAAACACGACACCAATAGCAAAGCAGACAGTGCTACTTTTAATTACTATGTTAATAACTGTGTATAGTTCATTAGAACAATGTATGTGTATTTTATTTTTTACACTACGACTTGGAATTATGGGTAATGGTTTATGATGAACTGACTGAACATATTACGTATGTAACGTGCATGCAAGACGTCACATCACGTTAGAATAAAACCAGAGAGTAAATTAAACCATAACCGTTACGTACAATGTGTTAGGGACAATGGATACCAAAAAGAGCTATTAAGCGGATTGCAGAAAAGAAAAAGGAAAGAAGAGGTGCAGGAAAAATGGAAAAAACTTCAGAAAATAAACACGTTCCTCCAAAGAACCGAAGAGGGGGAGGTGGATGTTGCAGCTACTACCAGTCCAGCGAGTAAAGATTGCGACCGGGTTCCTGGATCGGTCTGTTGCACGTCTGTGTGCTCACTTTGTCAACAATGTGTAAAGTGATAACATTTCAAATACATGCTTTGAGGTTTGGCTCGTCTGATTTTTTCTGGGTTTTATCATTTCTGCCTACGTCTGGTCTGCCATCACCTACGTGTTTTCATAGATGTGTAGCAGTATGCCCAATGTGTTTTCATGGACATGCATGGTGCGCCATCAACTTTTTTCGTGGATGTGGTGCTGCGCTGTCATCAATGGTTCCCTTCAAGGTGCGCAGTCACTATTTTTCAGCAGCTATTGTTTATCACTATATTGTGATCAAATAATACTAAGAATTGCATAATTGTATCCTTTTGGCTGATTTATGGAACTGTCGTCGTATCCTGAACCTTTATCACATGTTGTACTTCATATGGGGCCCAACCAGATAATGTTGCTTACGGGCGTATTGTTGTGTCGTTACGCCATTGGTGGTTTCAAGCTCAAGAAGGAGTCCTATCGAGCCTGGTTGGCTTGTTGGAATGCTGAGGCAGCAAGCAGGCCAACTGTGCCACTGCCCGGGCAGTTGCAGAGGCAAGAACTCGGGACCAAGGCGATTTTAAACAGAGGGCCAACAGGGGCCAGTGCCCCTGTAGAACAAGAAGAACAAGAAACAGCAAGAAGGTTGCAGGTTCGATTCCTGGTCTTTCTGCATGAAGTTCTTCCTGAGCATGCTTGGGTTTTCTCTGGGTACTCCGGCTTCCTCCCACAGTCCAAAAACATGACTTCTCTAAACTTCAGGGTGTACCCTGCCTCTCGCCTCTCGCCCGTAGACAGCACCCCTCGCGACCCCATTTAGGAATAAATGTGTCAGAAAATGGATGGATGGATATATAATTCACTGATACAGAAACCGGAACTAATATAGGGCAACGTTTCATGGGGAAACTTTAGAGCAATGGACACTCACTAGGGACTTCTGATAATGAAAAGAGGAAAAGGAGGATAATATTTACAGACGAGTCGGACGACTAACGAGAAAGAGTGTAAAGAGTAAGTGAGGAGCAGAAAGGACAACATCACATGCATCAAGTAACCAACACAGCCATCAGGTCTGTGATGTTAAACAAACCTGTTTGTAACATGTGATTCTTACATAGCCTGTAACGTGCATCTGAAACATGCTGACTATAGCGCTATAAAAAAGGAACTAAAAGTAAGTAAAACATCTTTGAAATTAGTGTATTTTTCCTTTATTTTGGCAAATAATCTTGTCTGGCAATGGAATAAGTATTCTGACCATTAAAATTAGATAAGAAATACTGCATTTGGGATAAGGGGATGGAGATGAGTTGTTCCTTTTCTAAGAGCAAGAATCTTATTTAGCTGCTCAAACCAAGGACAAATACGCACATTTCTTAATATTTTACTTACTTTAGCTCAATTTTATTTATTTTCCACTGTGATCTTAATGGATAATTAAATAAATAGATAAAATTACAAGCTAATGAATCCACAAATGCTATCAGTTACATCCTCATGTCTTTTATAATTTTATTTATATATAATTTAAGGGTATTTCCAACCACAGCAATGGGGGACAGAGGATGCAGCATCTAGGCAAGCTGGTATGAAAGTCATCCTTGGGTTGAATGTTCTGTAATTATGGATTCTGCCTTCTGCTATGCCTGCAGACATTTCAGCCTACCAGGTATTTCATGCAGTGTGTTTGACTCACCACCAGGCTGTAGGAACTGGTTGGAAAAATAGCAACCAAAAAAGCAACCAAAAAAGAGGGGAGATTTATCGTACATGCATACTTGCAAGTATGCAATGATAGCATGGAGGGACTATATCCTTAAGGAAAATATCCTTAACCAGGAACACAGTAAACAAGAAAAAGAAAACAGTGACTAGATTAAAATAACACGGTAAGTTATATTGCTTACAACTAGACAAAACATGACAGAGAGAGAACAAGTCGAGTCTAGGGAATCAAACAACAGGAAAAAAGCAGTCAGTGCTTCAGTGTCATGGCAGATGAGATGTCTCAAAACAAGAGCATATTTCATTTGTACTCAGGTACTATTGAAAGGAACAATCAAGGAGAGTTTTCTACATTTTGAATCTTCTGAAAGACTAGATGCAGAGGATTATTGGATCACTATGGCCTAGACTACGAAAACAACTTTTATAAGGCCAGGCATACAATGGAGCTGCTGTGAGCATTCAGGGGTCCAGGCTAGAGTCAGAGAGCAAGCAAAATTTGCATTTTGCCTTTACTGCCGTGCCCACTGCCTCTATTTAGTGCTAGTTGACTGTCTAAGCAGGGCCAGAAGCAGAGAAATTCTCTGGATTGTTGCAAAGTCTTTATGCTTTCACTTCTGGCTCAGATGTGCGTACTAAATGGCTGCACTAACTGAGATGTATGGAAGCACAAAAGCTAAAAAATTGAGTGATGGGCTTATCAGTTCATAGCCCTTCATAACATAATGGACAGATTACCTGCCAAAAAAAGAGATTAGAGCACAGGGGTAAAAGGTCTTCTGAGGCCTTTGGTCTCCTGGCCCAGATTGACCTGGAATTTGTTGTGCTTCAGGTTACGCTCGGTAAACAAAGCTTTCAGATAGGCTGCAGTCAACTGTTCCATCTCAAGAGCAGCGGATTTAGTGGAAGATTTTGTTCAGACTTTGACAGATTTTAGGCAACAATCCTTTTTTGACAACCTGTTGGGTGAAGTATTTAACATCTGTGAGCAGTGTGATGCTGCCAGTTTGTGGCAAAACGACAAAGAACTAGTTCTGGCCTCCAAGAGTACCAGATAATAAGCTCTGTTTTTCTTTTTCTCGTGTCATTGACTGCATGCTTAGTGAGTTTATGAGTTGTATCCAGTCTCTTAACCCCAAGAGTGATGCATTTTTAAAGTCGTCGGGATATCATACCGTACTTAAATTTCAAGTCATTCTGGCTTAAACATGTATAAAAATTTACTGTTTATCAGATTATATTGTCTCCAAAAATGAGAAAATTTCTATATTTTTTTTTAAATTCCTGTCTTAAAATCAGTTTTTTTTTTTATCATTATCTTATGCAGACCAGTTATACGTCAGCCTGTACACCTAAATTCGGCCAATCATGTATCAATGGTCATCTGTCAATCAAATTTTTTCGGTCATAGCATCTTGATTCATACTTTGCAGATAAAATACCCAACGGTTGAAATAAGAATAATTTCCTTTCCCATTGAGTTGCGTCCCAGTGTCCCAGGGATGGACGTCTGTGTCTTCGGCAGGCGTAGAGCTAACAGAACTGGCAGCGTTGCGAGGCGAGGGCTCAAACATGTACGGCTGGAAGCCTTCTACACCAAACCAAGCTTCTTCAGCCCTGGCGTCCTCTTCCACAACATCTTGGTCCCAACTTTCCTCCTCCAGATAAAAAATGTGTGACAGAGGAGACTCATCCACGACCTCCGACACAAAACTCTCCTCCTCTTGCATGTTTCCTCTGTCTATAGCGTTCCTTGACTGTGTCGTTTCGCAGTGCTACTTGGTCCCAAACTTTGTTGCGAACTCTTTGCCACAACAATCCCGCCCCCTTGATAATCGTCCAATCACATTCACTTTATTCCCTCGTGTAAAGTCGGGCACCACTCGGGAGAATTCGGATATACAACGGTTGGAAAAGCCGCTTCCCTACGACCTTAAAAGACCCAACGCCGTTTGAATTTGGTCGTCTTTCTGATGCCAATAGTGAGGATAGCGGTCACCTTGGAAACGCCCCTGAAAATATAAACAGGAAATTCACTTTAAGCAAGTCTTGAAATTCAGTGGCAGGCTTGGAAGTCCTTTTCATATTTAGTGAAAATCAAAACCAACCTTTAAAAACAAAGACTAAATTTCTTGAACATATTTTGGCACAAGCTACCAAATAAATCATTAAAAACGAGCCATTCGACACCTTTACTCTTGCTAAAAGACCAAAAACAGGAAAAGGTTATTCTGATTTAGGGTAGGACAAAGTATACAGTTATTATAGAGTCCAATTATTTAGTTTCAACCATACCTCAGAGAATTGATAAATAAGCAGCAAGATTAAAATTTGTATTTTTTAATTAGGTTACATTTTCAAAATCCTCTTTAGGACGTCAAAATATTATCTGCAAGATTACTGCACAAGTTTAGCAAACAAAGGACAACAGGAAACATCAGAAAAATATATAAGCAGTTTATTGTGTGTTCTACCATTCAGTTTTCATTAAATTTGTTAGAATTTAAACTGGAGACACCGTCTGTTTATCATCCAAACTGTGTGTTAGTGTGTAGATTATAAATGAAGGAATTCAATGATCCTAGAAGCTTTAATCTTTATTTTTTCATTCAAACAAATCCATGAACAGTTAATCACAAAGGCTGATTATGAGGGATAAAAAGGTTGATTTTCTGTTTGAAATTAGAACAAATGGCGACAAGGCAATGTCACAGTTTTCTGTCAGAGGAAGAAAAAAAAGGAAAAGGAGCATGTGACAGTGCGACTGCCAAACTGACTCATCACATCCACCTCAGGAGTTTTCAGACCATAAAAAAACTGATCGAGTGAGAACACAAAAGTTTAAGCTTTCTTCAAAATTCAAACAAAAACTTTAAACTTTCTCACAGGACAGAAAAACTGCTTTGTTAATCAGTTGAAAAAATGCTAATTTCGGATCAAAGTTTAGTGTTTCTGTAGTTCAGACAGTAGAAGTTACTGGCGTGGGCTGCGGGTTTCACAGCTTTTGTTGACTAAACAAAGACAGAAGTTGAATCCAGCCGAGGCTGTTCTTCAAAACACAAAACTCCTGACTAGAAGGCTGTTTTAACTTCAGATCCCATTAGGCCTGCAGCCGCATAAACCACATTGTGATTACATCCCCACTGGCCTGCTTCCTGACTTCAGCAGGTTTGTTTTCCTCATTCAGTTCAGTTCAATGCAAGTCCTCGTCCTTCTGCTCTCTGCAGACACACAGCGGATTCCAAAGAAAGTTACTTTTTAAATCCAGTGCACCGAACAGGTGATCCTTCCACCTCTTCAAGATGAAGTTCTTTTACCTCAATTTCTGACCCGACAATACAGGGACATATTGTCCAGCAGGGGGAAGGAGATGAAATATCCGAGCGCTGAGCCCAGGATGACGCCAAGAAAGATCCAGACGTTGTAGGACATGACGCAGAGCATCAGCATGTAGCCTAGAGTCACCTGCACAATTTGGAGGCATGTCTGGATGACATGCAGCAGCCAGCTGGAAAGCAATGGTCAAAGGTATTAGTTGCAAACACAGCTTGGTTTAATTACAGTAACAAGTGATGGTGCACAAAAACACCACTTCAGCAGCTTTTCACTTTCCTTTAATTAGAACAAATAAAAAAGGAAAAACACTTGAACATGTTTGATGATTTTGTTAGGAAATATATTATTAAACTAAAGATTTTGAGCATAAAAGAAAGGTTAAAAATCACATCGACACCATTTTAATATGAAGATAATTTTTCAATTTTTCCACACTGGATCTTGAACCTGTCTTCTTTAGTTTAACTCTCCCATGAGGCGCAAACTGGATAAGGTTGGTTTATGCTTCCCAAAAATGTTACAAAACAATCCACTGGACTTTGTTTCCGGGTTTTTAGTCGTTTTGCTTGCCACCCAGGAAGCTTTTTCAATAAAAAAATGTCAGAAATAGTGTCAAGTTCAAGGCTTTATACAGTAGTCCACAAAGGTTTGTTTTTGCTTAGAAAACATGCAAGATGAAACGGACGAAAAGGGTCAACCCCTTTGAAAGAACAAGACTTTGTTGGGAAACAAAGCCTTGTGGACAGTTTTTTTTTGTTTTTTTTTTAAGTTTTTAACGGCACTAGTGGGTGGGTTTTTTTTGACAGTAGGCTGATAGGAAAGGGTATGAGAGAGGGGGAGAGACGTGCAGCAAAGGACCACAGACCGGATTCGAAGCCGGGTCAGCCGCATCGAGGACTAAGTCCTCCGTACATGGGTTGTAGGGGTGTAAATAATAATCGTTTTGTATTGATGCAACGATCCAACAGCCGACGATCCGATGCATCGATACGTCTGCAAAATAATCGAATCATGTTTTTTTTCTTCCTCCGGTCTATTTTTATCCATTTGCTCCTGGGCGTAATTCTCCTCCCGAGCTGCGGTGGCGCTGAACCTATTTTGCCCTCCTACCTCGCTTCCTGGTTATACTCTTACAGCAGTGTGTTGCAGTAAGCTTGACACAAACATTTTTGATTTGTGCCCAATATTGAAGCGTGGTCTGTGCTACACACTGTGGGTCTAGATACGGCCGAGGCGGTGAGGAAGTGGGGGGCGAGTTTAGTCCGACGACAGAGCGACATGAGGGCCAAAAACAGCGGAGATCCAGGTGGAAAAAGGGTCCCAGCGTCCCTCTTCTAGCGGGTCAAACTTCACGAGTTGTTTTTACACAATTTCGGTCATGAAAACAAAACAAGCCTGCCTCCTGTCTGCGGCGCTGTCTGCGGTCAGCTACAATTTGGGAGAGGAGCAGCGGAGCATCTGTGTGGGGGGGGGGGGGACGTCTGGAGCCGAGGCATTGCATTGCACTCATTGCACTGATTTTGTGCGGTATTTTCTGATGCAAAGCCTTGCAGAATCTATAACGCAGGGGCATTGTTATTTTTTAGTGAATGAGGTTTTCATAGGAATAGGTGGAGTGCAACTTTTCTACTTCTGTTATTTGCTGTTGTTTCTCAAAATAAAAGCATAACGATAATCCAGCTTTCATTGATTTATTTCAAATTTGAAACATTGTCTAGCCTGTAAGGTAAAAAAAAAATTATAAATTAAGCAATTAATCGAATCGAAGGTGTATTCTTGAGTATCGAAAATAATCGAATCGTTGGGTCAGGAAATCGATACCAAATCGAATTGCCATGATGGATGTGATTTACATCCCTAATGGGTTGTGCGTGCCAACTACTGCACCACCTGCACGCCCAATTGGACTGTTTTTATAAACTTTTTTGGAATGACTATGACCTGCATGACTGAGAATCTTCACCAGCGTGTTGGTTTATGCTTGACGCATGCATACGACGCATACAAAAAAATTTAGACCTGCAGACAACGTCTGCTGCTTTTCACCCCATGCAGTTTTTTTGCTTGTACGGAATATTCTGGCCAGCTCCAGGGAGGCCTCCACTGCAAAAATTGTAAGCATACCAATGTACACCACATAAAGTATAGAAAATAGTCGTTTCCAATATTTTCAGCCTCTTCATCCTTGAGTGAATGTACGCAGAACCATCTGCATGTTTATAAATTTTCCAATGGGCGTGAAAGCCAAAATTACGTAAGTCAAACTGAGTAGGCTACTCGTTTAAACCCTGCGTACATGCACAGCATCATACCTCCTTTGTCATTCAAATCACACACAAACGATTTTATTAAGGAACAAACTGAGCACAAAAACAGCAAATAATACATCAGAGGGGCATGATGATCCTTCATAAAAGCATTCCAATCAGAACGCCTTAATGTTGTTAAAGTAAAATAGAAAAATAGCGTGACTTCAACTCTTTAATGATCCAAGCTGCAGCACACGGGTCCTTTCTGTTTTATTTATTTTCACTTTTTAAAATTGCACTTCCAAATGTTGCACATCTGGTTTCTTACTTAACTACTCTCAAGGTCTATAAATAAATATTTTAGTCCGGATACGTTGACGTTACTCCACTACTAATTTCTATTCCCACCTGCTCCGGGGGCTCTGAGGCTGGGACTCTGTGGGGGTCAGTGAGGACTCAGACGGACTGGGGTCCAGCGCCGAGCAGCTCTCTGTGCGTCCAGAAGGAGGGGCGTCATTGGCCAACGCCTGTGGAGGCTGAGCCAGGTTGGAGCTGCTGCTCAGCCACACCCGCCACACTTTGAGGATTTCAAAGAAGACCGTCAGCAGCAGGACGAGAAAAACCGATAGCACCATACCTGCAGGCAGAAACACAATCAGACTTAACTCACAAGCAGTCAGTAGTTTTACTGCAACTTTATTTTCCCCTCACATATTTTCATGACCAAGTTTTAAAACTTCATTTCTAAAGCTCAAATAAAATTTTAAAGCTACAGTGTGTAATTTTCAGCGACATCTAACGTCCAGACTGCAGACTGCAGCAACATGAACATCTCCCCCCCACCGCTTCTCCCCCCAACAGTACGGCGAGCGTTATGGGACAAAATGTCTTCCACGACGTCGGAATCACCTACCTTCTCAAGTGATGAGGTTTGTTTACATAGATAATTTTACAGATAGTATTTCATTAGTCTGTGTAGGGTATAGATTTCATGTAGACTTTAGATAATAAATATACCCGTTATTTTTTCTACATCGTTGTGACGTTTTGGTGAGCTGCTTTGCATGGTGATATAAACAGACGAAGTAATTGTATTCATTAGTTTAACAGCGAGATTGTGTTCGCTGGAAGAATATATATTCCCCGTTTACAGAGTCCAAGTCTTGTTTGTGGCACGGGGGTTACAAGGCGAGGAAAAGGGAGAGGAAGAGGGCAGAGAGGCCGGGGTGGGCGTGCAGCCAGGGCCAGGCGAGGAGCCAGCGGGGTGACTAGATCAGAGGAGGAAAGGCTTGAAGATCTCCAAAGGAGCCGGAGAGAAGTAACCGAGGTATATATCCAGAAAATTATTTTACAGAAAATTACTGAATCATTACCTGTGAAACGTCAGGGACGTTGCTGAATAAGTATACTGGAGAGTAACAGCATCATCACGCAGCATGTTACTGTTTTAGACAGGTCTGAGCATCATGTACTCCAAAAACTGCAGTGATATTAGCATTTGATAATATATTAAAACATCACATGTATTTGTCCTGTGTTTAATTTTCTCAGAGACTTATTGGGGAGATGACCCTGGAGGAGCACAGGGAGCTCACCACCCAGCTCCTGGAGAGGCAGCCAGGACTACTTTTTGATGCCCTGATGATGCATCAGCTCAGGCATGGTGCCCCACCGTTTACTGGTGTACAGGGAGTACCATGGTGTACTTGTGGTAACTGCAGGGACATGCCTACAGACCGGGAGAGGATATGCTGTGGCCAGGATCCAGCTCACTGTGTAAGCCGGCTACCTCACTTCTCCCAGTACTGCTTGGAAGAAGGTTTTTTACGTATTCATAGGCAGTACAGGGAGGAACTGACAGTATTTGGGCAAGTTAGGGGGCCTGGGGATGACAACCGGGAGTACCGTTATGCAGCATATAGGCATTTTATTTTCTGGCAACATGGCTCTTTAGGCCAGGGAAACCGTGTTGTCATCCCCAGCTGCTGTGTTTGGAGCATCAGGGACAAGTTCCCTGACCCCACTGGACATTACACAGGATTCATACCAGGCATCTGAGTATTCTCCCTGGCCCTCTGGCATGTCAATACAGGACCACAAGTGCTCACAAACCTGTGTGAACATCATCAGGGCATCAAAGCTATTTTTCCTTTTTTTGTGGTTAGACTTTACTATTTTTTATTATCTTTCAAAGTATGTTCTATTTTTTTCACTGCAACTTTGTCCAGGAATTATTTTGTATTAAATTATTTATTTGTGAAAGTTATTTGTTTTTGCAATTGTAAATAAAATCTAAAAAATTACATATACCTGTTGTATTTGTCAGTATATACATATAAGCATGGACCCATAGAAAAAGTACTTTCCTGTTATGTTTGTAAATGATAATTTCTAATTCAGGCTACACTAATGTACTTGTGTTATCACAGGGATCAGCTTTGTCCATGTAATTTTAACCCAAAGAGGAATCTACAAAAATAACTTATGTTGACACAGTTTATAATCTAAATAATTTCCAAGTTAAATATTTTGGCCATCTCTTCAAATCTTGACAATATAAATAGAAACATTGTACAATCATAAACCTGCAGTTTCTAGTGTATAAATAGTTGTAAACAGCTCATTTCATCTTCACCAGAACTGTCTTTGACAAAGTCAAAAAATAAAGTATAATTTCTTGTTTGAACTGAAAGCTAAATGCACCCTATCATCCTGTAGTTCTGCCTTCAACTCAAATTTGTATAAAAAATACAATAGCTATAAGAAAAACAGCGGATCACCAGCTATGCATCATTTATTTACTGCAGTGACATAGATATTTTCACTTGTGCAAAAGGGGAATATATTTCCCAGCAATATCTGTACACATCTGAACTCGTTCATTACAACTTTTTTTCATGTTGTATGAAGCAGGATGTCTGAATCACATATCATCAGGTGGACTGAAGACTGGTCCTGTTGGAGACAGTGTCATGATACAAGTAGTTAGTATAGTATTGCACTGATTTCTGTTTGTGGTCAACATCTTACTTCACTTGTCATGCAAGCTATACCCTAATATGCCACAATTGAGGCAAATAAATGTGTGTGACTTACCTAGACCTCTCTTGACTTGTGTTGGCACAAGTTCTGATGTGGCAGGTGCAGTTATGGGGGGCACCAAACCGAGCCTCCTGGGGTCATCTGGTCGAAGGCTCCGTCTTCGCGGCATCCCCACCTCAGTCACAAGTCTTCTTTTAAGAATTCGTTCCTGCAGCTCCGGGATATAGCTGTAGTTTTTTTCAGATTTCAGGGCATATACACTGTATCTTCTGGCGTTTTTGTTGTACAGCCTTCTGAAACTAATTAGACAGATTACAACACTTCAGAGTCAGTTTTTTTTCCCCCACAAAAGAAAAAAATAAATAAGCTCTTTTAAAAAAACATAGATTAAGAGTGTCAGTATGTGCTGTAGTTACTGGGAGTATTTAGTTGTAAGTTTATTAGACTTACATCTCTTTGCCTTCGGCTGTTTTCATTGTAGGTCGGTTCCGATGGAAGTTGTAGTCAAGAGCAGCCAGCAGAACTCTTGCCTCATAAACTGGGGGACTGAAAGCATGACGCTTGCTGGCATACATCAGAATATGGTTCTGGAATGCTTCTAGGTCAGCAGTTGATCTGATTGAACAGTAATTGTAAACTTCAGTGTTTGCAAAAACAACCACAGAATAGTATAATGTACACAATGTGATTTTGTGTGAAGCATTTAGATGCACTTTACCTGAAGCGTAGGTATTTATGAACATTCTTCTGCCAACGCTTATTGAGAATAATGTCTATTAAAGCTTTGTGGCATTTGGAGTCTCTCTGGATCCACTCCTTTCCATGCAGTTCTTCCAGATGTCCATGTTCGCATTTTCCTGTTTTCCATGTGTGAATGTTGCACACATGGTGGGTGATGCCAATCCATAGTGTCTGTGTAGAAAGTAGAAAAGCACTGTCTTTTTCATACACAAACTGTATCCTGAACTACATTAGATATGTGTGCAAATTCTCATACACATATGCACTTACAAGAAACTGCTCAGTTGTGTCAGCCATCTTACAACACCACCAAAAATGGTTCACAATGTCTTTCAGCCAGACAAAGAGGGTTGATTGTCCTTTGATTTTTGCTGCCTTTAGCAGAAAAACAAAACATATATAAAAGGCAAATGACATAAGGTATTCAACCATATTACATGTAAGGGTAAAAGTAGACACATTTTAATGTTGAAGAATACACCTGATTGATTAGCTAACTTCAGTCATACTGTAGATGCCTATACAGTCATCACTTTATAATTAATGTAAATGATAACATTTGAGCCATTTTTTAACTTACAGCTGCTATTTTTTTAGCCAGGTTTTTGGCACCATGCCACATGTCCAGACTGTGATGAATTCCAAGTGCCTTGTATTTGCCTTTATCTGGGTCTGCAAAGTAGAGAAACATACAATATCACTACAGTATTCTAGTAATGTTTAAAACAAAGAAATTCATACACTTTATCAGATAAAGCCTTACTCATAAGGGCCCCAATCTGGGCATGAGCATCAGTGCAGACCTCTACAAGCTTTATCTCTGATGTTAGCTTGTCTACAGTCTGGATAAAGCCCTCCCTCTCCATGACAACAGAGTTCCAGGATGTGTGCCGCTTGTCAATGGTGGCAACATGAATGATCTCTTTGGTGTCATTCTCCATGGTGGTGTAGCTGCAGTACTGTGCACAGTGGCCTGGTGAGTCATTTCTTCCATCCGCTGAAAAAGTAACAAATACAAAAAGGCAAAAAATAAAATGATCAGCTGCTTACAATCACACTGTCCTTGTCTAATGTCTTTATTACTCGCTGAGCTATGTACCTAGAACAACAACATCTTTCCCTTGAAGGGAACTGAGGGCCTCACTCCTCCTCTCTTCCCAGAAGTCTTTTATGGTGTCAACACAGTAACTGTCCTGAATGGAGAAGAAGGTGTTCTTGTTCACCATCCCCATGTTCATAAATTTGAACAAAAGGGCAACCTTTGCATAGTTATTGCCAGACAGTAAAATGTTGGTGGACAAGAGAAAATCTCCTATTTGCATCCCAAACTTCATTTTTGCCTGGGAATTCCATCTCCACAAGCTGTGTCCTTTGGGACAGACCTAAAAGTCAAAGACATGCGAATAAATAAATAAATAAATAAATAATACTGGCTTCCACTAGAAAATTGTCATAGCTAGACAACCATAATCTTACGATGTGCCACAAGGGTCTAGACTTACCCATTCCCCACTTATTGCTGTCCCCTTGGTAGCGATGTTTATCTCAAATGGGGCACTGCTGTTGCAAAACGTGCCAGTCTGAAGAAGAGCTGTACACTTATCCACCGGCAGGATCAGAAATGTGGCCAGTTGTTTCAAGCAGTCTTCATAAACTATTGCTGCTCTGGCACCGATGTCATCCTCACAGAGGACATGCAGTGGCTGTGGGAAAGCAGGTGCTTCATCACATGGTGGCTCATCAGGAGGGTCTTCACGTGCAGGCTGATCATGTACAGTTTCATCTAGTCCAATAACTGGAAGTTCATCAATTGATAGTCCTTTAAGTGCTCCACCCATTCTATTGAGACACATAATGAAAGCATGTGTGCAACAAATAATTTGACAAAAAAAAAACTATAATACCACACAACAGTAGCAGTACAAAGAATGAGTGATGACATACCGTATACAAATAGGTGGAAAATACTCTTCATCTGAGCTGTCATAATTCTTGCCATCATCACTTTTGGGATGAATGTTGGAAGAACCTTCATCTGTCCAATCGATTCTGTAAAGAAGGGAGAAATTAGGGGGGAACAAAAAAAATTAAAAATATAAAAATCGTTCACAGCACATTTAGAATAGTTAGAAAGTATCACTTACACACTATTCAACAGATCATTGAAAACATTTTCCCCCATCTCCTCCTCAACAATACTCATGTCCTGTAAGCTGTTAAAAAATAAAAAAAATACACCAATTATAAGTTTATAAAAGAAGATGACATAGCTCAAAGATGGTACAAGTTAGCTGTTACCTTTGCTCCAGGCTCTGAATTTCTGTAGCTCCTGCAATTACATCCAAATGCTCCTCTCTGTAAAGTATAATCACAGCATGTTTCTTTACACATATGGAGAGCGACGGTAAACACTACAGAAAGCTGACTCACTTGCTATTTTATTAGCATCAGAATCTTAGAGTAGCTTTATTTATTACTGAACCAATGTCACAATACAACAAAACTACAATCAGGTTATGAAGTGTGTTGGGACCACAATAGTTTCAGAGTGATGACTTGCCTTTCTGTGCCACTAGAAGCACCAATCGTTGACAGAGCTGGGGCTGTCACAAGAGAGGGTTTTCCCTTCATCGGAGTAGACGCTGAAGGACTTCTCTCATAGCTGTAGGACCAGTGACACATCTGAGGTTACAGAGTCACACACAGCTGTAATAATTGCTGTTACCGTACATAAGATGAAGCTGAGAGGAATGGCTTGCCTAGACTTACAATATTGAAATATACCTGTATACGTGATAAACAGCTATCAGATACAAGTGTTAGATAAATCCAGTGATAAGTCTGCTGCCTGGCACGTAGCTCGCTAATATGCAGCTTCATATATCTGTCTCTCTCACACTCACACACGCCACTATCAGCTGTGGTAATTTTATGAAGCTGTGGCCTTATCTAGGTAATGCTACCTGACATCTTGACAATAGTTTGGTTGAAACGGGATGTGGGGGTGGGGTATTACGTGTATAAAAAGACAATTGTGTGTGTAGGATTAATTACCTGTCCAAGAGAAAACTGGCAACTTGAGCGTCACTTTGAAAACCTTTTTCCTCCATCAGTGACTTCCATCGTGGAAATGCCGTGCCAATGTTGATCCGTGTTTTTTGCCGTTTCTTGTCACGCTTGAGTTTATTCTCGTCGTGTTTCCGCTTCTTAGATGACGGGGGTTCGGTGTCCGCCGCTTTTCGTTGTGATACAGAGTAGGCATGATCCTCCATTCGTCTGATGTTTGGCCACACAGTGCCAAACAGTTTGCCAAGTCACTCACGCCTGCCGCCTTGTTCACCTTTGTTGTTACTGAAGCGCCGTATACCTGCTTCTTCTTCTTCTTTGGTTTCAGGCAGACTAAACGCTTCTCAGGCATAATACTGCCATCTACTGTTCAGTGCCATCTCAGTTCATCTCTCTCAACTTGCCGTAGTTATTTTCGAGCGTAATGGGAGATCTCGCAATCGCTAGTTTATTGCCTCTGCACTTGCCGTAGAGCAAAGATGTCAGCCCCCATGGCTGCGCGACCCGCTCCTATGTAATTATAAATAACGAATTCTAAGGCAACGCAAATATTATGGTTAAAAGGCTGAGCTCAAAGGTGATGATAAATAACATAGTTATGTATAATATATTACATTTCTGACTTTATATTCCTGTAAAAATTACACACTGTAGCTTTAAATGGAAAAGATTCCCAAACCAATCCTGTGGAAGATTTTTAGAAAGGAAGAAAGTCTTATCAGGGTTAACTTTGAGGTTAAACATTAAACCAAACGTTTGCCAAGATCAGCAGCATCTGGTCTTTTCTCACATGTTTTAAAACTCCTGGTAAAGCTGTTCTCTAGAGATGCAAAGAACTTTAAACCCATCCTACTAAAACCATGTCAGCAAGTTATTCACTACTAAAAGAGCAATAAGTGATTTCTACCTGGAACATAAACACTTTAAGATGGGGTAAAATGTTTTATTGAAAGTACTGTCCAATCGCTAATTGCAGTCAATAGAGTTTAAGATATTCAGATAATAATGATCAAAAAGAATCAATTTTCTTAAAAGAAAAATGCTCTTTTTTTCTGGTTCCATCTTTTTTTTTCTTTTGCTTATACCAAACCTGGAAGGGCTACTCTGGAACATTGGCTAGCCATCATGGTGGATATACACACTTAAACGGATGCCGATAATAAAATACTTATGAAACTTTGTTAAGTGAGTGTATTTCAATGGAAGAACAAAATCCAGTCGAATGGGTCCTGCAGCTGCTGCCCTTCATTTTATGCACGAGCCTCTTCAGAGGAGGAAAATGAAGGCAAACTTGAGTCGATGGGGATGAAGAAGATGGGAGAATGAGATGGAGACTTAAAATCTACAGATGTTGACAATGCTCTCAGTGACTTGATTATGTTTTAAACCCGACTGGGCTCAGCCGACTTATGAGCATCTTCAGCCATTTATAGATAGTACTGTAGCCTTGCCAGATATCTATTACCTATAATAATCATGGCAGCATGTATTAACCAAACAGTTTTAGACCTACGGCAGGGAGAGGGCATAAATGACTGAAAATATTATTAACAATAATGTACAGCGGGGCTATTATCGACTATTAGATTCCATAACACCAGAGCAGGGGCAACATCGGTTGGACTGACTGCAATTCAATCAGAGCTTCTTCTACACTGGATGTTCATCTGTGACTGGGCCATATTTTGAATATTTTTATTTAAAAAAAAGAAACCGGCACACCTTCAAAGCAAAGCCTGACTTCATCACCAGTCTACTAGAAAAGATAGGCAGTGAAAGGTGATTCTCAGAGCAATCTGTGAATCTTAAAGCTGCAGTCTGTAACATTGAGAAGAGAGCAGACTTCGATTGAAAATTTGAAGAAAAACAGGTTTCACGCCACTCCCCCACCCTCTCTGCTTCACTCATGCCCCACCTCCAAGCTCCACCCCTCTCACAGCATCTGCGCAGCTGCCGCATGCGACCAGAAGCGTCCAAGCAGCGTACGCGGCATGGAGTGTGAACCGGTAAGAGCGATAACACTCACCTCCAAGCAGCTAGATATAAGGTTGGCTGGTTATACCGAAGTTTGCCGTGTAAGCAGTTGTCGGCAGGGGCAGTAAGGGCAGTTTCTCTTTCGCTGGTGGCTGTCGCTCCGCCATGACTTCCACGCGCGTCCTCCTGACTGCGGCAGCCGGGCGGCAGCAGCAAGTTAAGCGGTGAGAGGGGGGGTGGGTATTTAGCGTGTGTGAGCTGTGATGGACACTCCATCAGACGCTCCTCTGGCTGTGATTGGTTGTTTAGACTCGTCCCGAATTATTCTTTCCAGATTGAAATACAGGCAGTAGGCGGGACCAATTGAAGCAGTTTTTTTCACAGGTTACATATCACATGTACTGCTGTCTGGGCATAGGGACAGTTTTAGCCAATATGATAAAAAAGTGATTTTTAAAAACTTACGGACTTCAGCTTTAAAGTTTATTTTTTCATTAAGAGAGGAGAGCGACAAGCTGTGGTTTCCTGCTCTGTCCCTCCTTGGATTCTTTAAGGCTTGTCACTACTTCACTTCATCCTTTTCTGTCCTCCTGAACTCCCATTATTGATAAGGTATTATATTCAATGAATTGCTTTTATTATTATGTTCAAATCTGCCCTCCTTGTGTGATTCCAAATGGGGCAAAACTGACCACTGTCGTGGGAAAAAAGTATTCAAGTATTCATCCTGGTTAAATAACCGGAGATCGATGGATTTCACTCAGCTGGCACATTTATTCATATCTGTTCAAAGAGAGAACAGCCCATCATACAGCCCTTATGGGTCTGCCCTGTTCTGCTAAAGCAGCGTTCGTTCCCCCTTACAACAATGGAAAGTAGTCAGAGTCAAAACAAATTACAGACACTTTGGTTGAACAGTAACATGTAATGAATAAACCTTGACAAAGAATCTGATTTGTTATGGGAAGAAGCTATGTCTGGTCTACAAACACCATCCTGCAGGGAACGGTGTGGCCTTGAGAGAGAAACAGGCTGAGTGAAAATTTTTATAGTGAGTAAATGAGATAAATTAATGTATAATAGAAGAGCAATCAAAATTTCCGACAAAACCATCTTCCCTTACGATTAAGAGATTTTATTTTGTACTTCCCCCTAAGAGAATGCCATCCTCTGGACTTCGTTTTAGGCTGCTCAAAGAGCCCACTATGCAATGCTACACATATCCGTGTCATTACAGATAATGGCAGGTTAAGGTGACATCACTGGTTTTATGATGAAAGAGTGGCTGAGGGAGGTGTATGTAAAGAGACCAGGTGGTTTTTCCACCATCACCATCGCTGTTAATCTGTGACTCCATGCGTGCCCATCTCACAGCCGATGTGAAAAACATGCTGAAACAAATGAACGCTGTGCTTGCTGTTATTCCAAGGAGGTCTGACAAAGGAACTTCAACCGCTCGACATCGGTGTGAACCGGCCGTTCAAAGTAATGCTGCTTTCACACCAGACACAGCAAGAGCAGCAAAATCGCGTCCGCTGCTTCATTTTTGCTGCTTGTACCAGTTAGTTCTGACGTGCGGCTGAAGCAGCTTTGCTGCTCTGGCTGTGCGGTGCAAAAGTGTGTCTGACGCGCGTTGGGCGGAGCTACTCTATCCTTTCTTTGCCTTGAAGCTATATTTGCTGTGATCAGTGGGAATAAAGTAGTTTTAATGTTTTTAAGTGAGAAAGTCCACCTGAAAACTTAATCATTGCAGTCAGTTCATCCAGATTACAATCCCACCTTCTAATGTTATTTCTGTCGGAGCCGCTCAGACTCCCACATACCAGCGGTGCGCCGACAGTAGGAATCCCATTCAACAGCAGCCTCTGGCCGGGTCGCCTCCTCGCGGTTCACCGCTGCAGCTGGTAGGTGTTTTTCATCTAAATAATCTAAACTACAGGCACCAGGATAATAAAAGCGAACATATTCTGCCGGCAGATTTCGGCATTTAAAGTTAATTTAAGCGTCAATAAACTGTTTCAGAGGAGTGATCACAGCGCTCTGATCATCAGCGATGTGTCTGTCTCATGGCCAGCTACCAAGTTTGATTAATACTTTGTAATAAATACATGAATAAAGCACAATCATACTCAGTTTTGCTCCCGCTCTATTTTTAAATACGCAGTAGAGGTATTTAAAAGTAGTAGAGGATATGTACGGGTATATAAAACCCGCGCCCTATAATCCGGTGCGCCTTATGTGTGTGTTAAATACAGAAATGCCACACATAACTGAGACTGCGCCTTTTAGTGCGGTGCGCCTTATGGTCGTGAAAATACGGTAATTAACTCTCCACTCCATCTTTAAAAAACTATTTGGGCGTTTTAATTAGATAGGCTATTAAACATGAATAATATATGCTAAATAGATACATTTGTTGATTTTACTTTACAAGGATAACATTTAGTCAATCTATACAAGATCAGTGTGAGCAAAAGTAGCTGATATGATCTTCTCTCTTATCAACCAACAAGCTACTATACTTGGCACCATTTCGGCTAAAAGACTGGATGAAGTTAAACCCTCTGATCCACAAACAACCCTGCATTCAGCTGTACTTCGGCCATTAGTGTTTTTTTAATCCGTCAAACTTCTGGGATTACTGGATATCTGATGATTAATCTCAGAAGAATTGGTAGGGATACACAAAATTTGATCTGATTCAACTCTATGTCAAATCTTTAGGCTTTGTGTGGGTCCAGGGGTATCCTCCCTGGAAAATTTAGAAATATAGACTCTGAAATGCTGTTTCATGCATTTTGTGGTGGAATGCTGCCAAAATTTTTGTCTTTGTTCGAACACTACTTTTGTCCTGGTTATGTGGAGGTATGTGTGGTCGACTAGAGGTGGAAATTTAATAAGGAAGACATGAGATAATTTTAAGGTACAATATTATGTTTCATAGGTTAATTCAAACAATAATAAGTGTAATGCTACATTCACATTTTAAACAGGGGTGATTTAAGGAGCCATCAGATAACCCAGAGTTATCCAATCCAACACCAGCTGTCCTTAGAGACACTGATATGAACTTCATCTGATAGCAAACAGTAAAATTATTATATTCAATCTATAATTATACTTTTTCCCAAACAAGACTTTTCTGTTTCAGATAAACCGCAGAAATCCAGCACTGCATCACCACTGCATGACCAGATCCAATCCACTTCACCTACCACTTGGCTCTTGTGTGTGAAGTAAAGAGTCCACTTTATGGCAGTCTATTTTTCTGAGTATCTTAACCAGATCCCAATAGTATTTAGGTTTGTAGAATGTTCCATCATCCATCTGGTTAATTTTTGTTTGAATGAGGGTTCTTGGAAACCATAGCTGCATAGAAACCACAAATAAACCTGAAAGCCAAGTGTGTCGTCTCCACATGCCCATATATCAGAGTTCAGGAGTAAACAAAACTGTCCACCTGTGAAAAGGAAGCTTGAGCTTAAGGACAGAAGCCCACAGTGTTCAGTTAATTATCAAAATATCTCTACACTGACACCACCCACATCCTCAGGGGGAATACCGTCACAAAGCAACATTCCTGCTCGCTAGAAAATTAAAGTTATCATGAGCAGAAGCAGAGGTATCGCTTGAGCCAACTTTATGCAACGTATCAACAACCCAAACTGATTCCCATTCCCCTGAAGTGAAGGAGAGCTGCGTACCTGCAGGGCCATGGACGTCCCAGAAGTCAAAAAGCAGCGTGACGCTGCTCGATGCATAAAAAGTCATCTGGAAGAAATAAAAAAAACAGGAGAGAAAGGTTTAAACAGCAGTTTACAACCAGCAACACAAAGAGCTGCTCCATTTATTGTATTGTGTTGGTTTGAACTTTTATTTTGTGTTTATTTGGAGAACTTTTCCCATTCTAAAGGAGTAATTATATTAGGGCTGCAACCAACGACTATTTTGCAAATCAATTATTTTTGCGATTAATCAATTAATAATCGGATAGCCGGAATCTTTAAGAAGACTTTTAATGAAAATAAACCAGGTGAAGCACAGAGTTTTCCACTTTGAGAGTTCTGGATACAACATATTGACAGATGAACAATGTTTTAAAAAAATCTAAAACGCAAAATGTTTATATATATTTTCTTACCATCTTGCCAGTCAACTAAAGGCATGTTTTAAAGTCTCTATAGTCCTGTTAATGATTCACTCGATTACTAAATTAGTTACCGATTATTTCAATAATCGATTAATCATGATTAACTAAAGTATGTTGTAAATAGATGCCATAAAGCTATACAGCTTCAGTCTGATAAATATATTTTTGTATTCTTTGTGTAAACGAGTTTAAATCAGAGGCAAACTACCGTAATACATAAGCTAGCTGATATCTTTGGCCAACATTAACTTTTTTTGTACGCATCATTTATGACCAATATGTGCATTCATTGTTGCCCCCTTTGCTATTAATCTCCTGTTTCATTTCTAAATATCTCTAAACTGAGAGACATTGGTGACATTTGATATCATTGTGTCATTTTTAATCATGTAAACAGAGGAATAAGAAGGAATATGCTGCCTCCATTAAACAGCCCCCAAAAAAATAAAAGTCGGCCACACATCTCAGGGATATAATGGTTAGGGTGATATAAGGAAAAACAAAATAATCGGTATTGTGTTGGCCTCAAAAAAAAAAACCTACATCAGTGGATGTCCATGTTGGGCTATGTTCACATTGCAGGCCTTGATGCTCAATTTCGATATATTTTTTTTTTTGCATTGTCGTTAACATTTCCAAATATATGCAACTTGTATTTGATCTCCTGTGTGAACTGCAGTCATACAACGCAAGTGTCCCGCATGCGCAGTAGAGGACGCAATGATGTCACAGGCCAGCGTGCTCTGTGTTTACGGAAGTAAACATGGATGATGGTGCCGGCACGCAGTTAGCAGTTTTTTCCAACCATAAAAACTTAAATCTTTTCTATATGGTTAAACATAAATACTGCTTTCCACATCATCATCAGCAAAGGTTGTTGTTTTTCTTGCCGCTTCTTCATAGCAAGACCCAGAATAGTGACCTTTGTCGGGTATTAATGACGTTCAGGTCGGATGAATGCGACCTGGCCGTTCACACACGGGTCGCATTTGAAAAGATCAGATTCGTATCGGACCATATAGCCAAGTGGCCTGGGTCGGATTGGAAGAAATTGGATCTGTGTTGTTCAGACAGCCATGAAAAGATCAGATCCAGGTCGCATGTGGGCAAAAAAAAAAATCGGATTTGGGTCACTTCAGGCTGCAGTGTGAACATAGCCTTTGATGCGCAAGTTCTTTTCAGGGTTTTTGAACGGCGTAATGCTGCTGAGAAAATGTGTAATTAATAAGCTTAAAGCTAAAAATAAACAGGAATATTTTAGGAAAAGCCTTTTTCTTCACTGTCAAACTCAAATATTCAGTGTGATCCATGAAGAATCAAGCTAATTAAATCATATGTCTGCGAACTGATCTCTATCCAGACAGGTTCTATTGTGTGTTTTTTTTTTTTTTTTTCATTATCAGAGCGATGCTTTGTTCTCTCCAGCTGCTGTGGATGTGGGATTGAAACACTCGTTCCGTTGTTCTGTTAACAGCCTGGCTCTCCTCCCATCTTCCACCTGTCCAGCCTGGAGGATCTCTCAGCAGCTGCCCTCAGAGCCTGACAACACCCTCCAAACGCCCAGTCACCGATCTGAAGGAAACTTCCAGTTTGTTTCATTTCCTAACTCAGATAGCAGATCTACAGATTAAACATCACCTCACGTACGTGACTTCATGAACAGGGTTACTCCTCATTAAAAAAATCGGAGGCGCCGTGAAAGAGGAAGAACTGGTTTTTATTTTAGCTGGATCGCTTCCTTCACCGTTTAATTGTTCCTTTGTTTTTCTAAACATTGGAGACGTTAGATTAAAAAAAAATAAAAAAACAGCTTTGACTGTTAAAGCGTATAAGCTCTGCATAATGTCTTTTCTGGGAAAACAGCAGATGTTTTAAAGGATTATAGAGTAAAACCAAATACAGACGACATGAGTCAACAGGCAGGCTGATCATTAGGAGCTTATCCTTCCAGATGATTGAGAAAAGCAGGGTTTTCCACTAGTCCAGGTGAGCAACAGGACCAAATACTGTTTTAATACCAACAAGGTTATTTGTCACCTGGTTTTTGGGGGTACAGCAAGGAGAAATTGAACATAATAGGTACATTTAAACCAGTCTTGTTTCACTTTCAAAACCAATTAATTTTCTAAAATGTCTCTAATGCCCCATTTACACTACCCCTGTGAAACCGATCCATGCCGAGTTCGGACCGAGCTTGGATCAGTTAACTGTGCCGTGCTTGGTTCTTACGACCATTTACACATCACGCTAGCAGGGCTCCTTGGCTCCTATCGGCGGTCCACGATACTACAGCTCTCAAGGAGGGGATTACGCAAACAAAAATGGCGGCACCCATAGGCTTCAGGAACTTATGTGCCTGGATAGCGTCTTCCGCCCAAATTTCAATGAGAGCCTCGGTCTCGGCATCATCCTTAGTCGCACCGCGCTCTTTTGATGCCATTTATCGTTAACGAGAAGACGTTCGTGTTGCGAAAAAGGTGAAGAGATCTGTTAATTGCAAATCCGGAAACACCAGAAAACCCACAAAAGCAGTCAGATGATTCTAAATAGGAGATGACGCGGTCTGCTCATCCGCTCTTAGTCAATAGAGAACCGAGCAACAACCGAACCGTGCCGAGCCCAACTGTTGAACTAGTGCCCTATTTACACTACCCCTCTGAAACCGAACCGCGCCGAGTTAGGACCGAGCTTGGATCAGTTAACCATGCCAAGCTTGGTTCCTTACGATCATTTACATACCACGTTAGCACTCAACCTCGCCTCCTAGTGACGATCTACGGTACTACTGCTAGGATTGAATGAGGGAATCAAGTAAATCAAAAGGGCGGCGCCTACAACATTCAGGAAGTTATGTATGGTTTTAGTTATGATATTTCGTTGTTTGCCGCGAGTCAGCCTTTGGTTTATTTATTTGACAGAGTCAGCTTTTGGGAATTATGTAGTGTTGAGAAGATTTCGATTGTTATTTTCAGGTCCCTCCTCTTTTTGTTTTATGGCGGTTGGCAAGCAACTTACTGATGTCCATTACTGCCAACTACTGGAAGCTGAGTGTAAGGAGATGAAGCAGTCTGCTCATGCACTCTTTGTTATCAGAGATCCGAGCCACAACTGAAGCTCGCTGAGTGTTGAACTAGTACTAGATTTAGCGCTCTTCGGCTGTGTCTAGCATGGTCCGGTTCAGTTTGCGTTCAATTTACACTCAACAGTTATCTCAGTTACTGTGCTGAGTTCGTTCTCGGCACTCTATCAAAAGGGTGGTGTAAATGGGGCTAAGTTCTAGTTTAGCACGGTTCGGTTGAGTCTGGCATGGTCCGGTTAAGTTTGCGTTCCATTTACACTAATAGTTATCTCAGTTACCGTGCTCGGAACGCTCTCGGCACGGTTTGTTGCCGGAAAATTTTTTATCTCTCTTCTATTATACATTAATTTATCCCATTTACTCACTATAAAAGTTTTCACTCAGTCTGTTTCACTTTCAAGGCCACGCCTTTCCCTGCAGGATGGTGTTTGTAGACCAGACATAGCTTCTTCCCATAACAAATCAGATTCTTTCACAAGGTTTATTCATTACATGTTACTGTTTAACCAAAGTGTCGGTAATTTGTTTCAACTCCGACTACTTTCCATTGTTGTAAGTAAGGGGGAACGAACGCTGTCCAGGGTAGAATGCTGTGCCATAAGGGCTGCATGATGAACTGTTCCCTCTTTGCAAAGATATGAATAAATGTGCCAACTGAGTGAAATCCATCGATCTCCGTTTATTTAACTAGGATGAATAGTTGAATACTTTTTTCCCACGACAGGTTTCAAAAGGGTGGTGTAAATGGGGTATAAAAAGATGAAGCTGTAGCAGAGCTCCTTCAGTAGCAGACTGACACTTCCTTGGTGCACAAAGTAGTTTCAAAAACAACATCCATATAATATCTAGATGGTGCAGAATAACAGTATTATTACTGACCAAAAAAATAGTATAATGGTTTTACAAATTTGAACGGATCCAAAATATGCAAATATTTAGTTCTAGTTACAAGGAAAAATGTTGGGGAAAAAAAGAATTCTGCACCAACGGGAAAAGCAGGTTGAAGTCAGGTGAGATGGAGCTTAGATATTGCCAGATCCTGGTGGGTCTGTGATGGAACTGAGAAATGGTTTCTCTGTGTTATATTTCTAAGACTCAAACACAAAAACATTAAAGGAGCAAAATGAAAAGTGAACATCAGTCAAGCTTAAAGGAATAGTACACCCAAAACATGTTTAGCCTTCATTTTCTACTCACCCCCATGCTGAACAACACTCTGGAGTACTTTTTTGATATCTCAAATGCATCTGGAGATCTGGGAGGCTTCTTGCTGTCTGCTGACATTCAAATAATGGAGGTCTGTGGCGCCCGAGACAGAAAGGTCCATAAAAGTCCACAAAAAACGTGTCAATATTCCTCCATACTGCTCGTCCAATGTATTCCAAGTGTCCTGAGTGGGTAGCGTCCATAATTTACTCGAAACAAAGTCATTTAGAATGTTTTTAGAGCATAAACAGTAGTGTATAGGATTTCCTAAAAGCGCGCGCCTGCGAGTTCACGAGCCTACGGAAACTGCGGCAGACCAAGCCAGATGAAAGTGCGCATTCAGCGTCTGCTCTTGATAATGCAAGCGTAGAAGAAGAAATTTGCTGTTTACCTGTGCAAAGAAAGAAACAACGAAAGAAAAATGTCTGAGGACTTCAGTGTTGAGGAAGAGCATGAGTTCTTTGCCGAGCTGAATGCGCACTTTAGTCTGGTTTGGTCTGTCGCGGTTTCCGTAGCGTCAGGAACGCGCTTTTAGGAAATCCTATACACTACTGTTTATGCTCTAAAAACATTCTAAATGACTTCGTTTCGAGTACATTATGGACGCTACCCACTCAGGACACTTGGAATACATTGGATGAGCAGTATGGAGGAATATTGACACGTTTTTTGTGGACTTTTATGGACCTTTCTGCCTTGGGCGCCATAGACCTCCATTATTTGAATGTCAGCAGACAGTAAGAAGCCTCCCAGATCTCCAGATGCATTTGAGATATCAAAAAAGTACTCCAGAGTGTTGTTCAGCATGGGGGTGAGTAGAAAATGAAGGCTAATCATGCTTTGGGTGTACTATTCCTTTAAGTCCTAGTGCCAACTAAAGAAAAAGGGCTCATAAGCAATAGGTTCCTGCTTTTCTTCTGTTAAACCAAATTGCTAATGCCAAAAAAATCAGTTTTTAGCGACCTGACAACCTGCTGGAAAGCAGCATGAAATGAAAGCGGAAGACCGGGCTATTTCCTGGCTGGGAGGAGATAAACATACGGCAATTTAAAAATCAGCTAATACAGTGGCTCATTACTACAGAAATTAGCATTTATAATATTTTCGTTAGGGTTTAATTTTGCTCCTACTGTAGTTTCATATTCTTAGTTTTCAGTTTTTATATTTCTTATATTCTTGTGTGAAATCAGATTCCCTTTCACTTTGCTGCTGGTACAGCTAAATGTTTGACAGTAAAGACTTTTTTTAAGCTGTCTGCTTTAAAGGGGAACACCGTTTTTTTTTTTACACTGGCCCCTTGATTTCACATTATTACATCATGTTCTACTCACCCATATTAGTTTTGTGTCATTTGGAGCTGTTCTGAAGATATTCGGTTTTGTAATATCCAAGTAACGTCTTCCTATGGGCAACAAGTTGAAGGCACAAACTAAACTGTTCATTATTTATTCTTTATAGTATCAAGGGGCCAATGTAAAAAAAAAAAACAACCAAAAAAAAAAAGAACAGTTGATATATTATTCAAACCAAATTGCTTAACTTCCTAGATGACAAACATTGTCCTTTTTCATTCGATTTGACTTGTGCAAACAGTCATCTGAGCAAATATTATTAGGAAGGAGAAACAATAAAGGGACTTCAACAAAGTGTATAAAGCAGCTGTAATTCATTTTAATCAGCATTGCAGTATTGCATTGAGACGCTGCCAAATGAGAGAAGTGGTTACCATTTGGGCAAACCGACCCAGATCCCAAAAGAACCACAAATCACACAACAGATCCATGCCCTTCTGACTTAAAATGAAAACATGGTTATTGATTATAGTTCTTACTTTGAAAGATTTCCTCTGGTGGCTTTTTATTGTTCTGTACCTGCCCAGTTTCAGAGAACTGCCACCAAAATACCAGCTGCTGGCATCAAATACCCACAATGTTCTAAATTATTAAGTCAAACTTTTCGCTTTTTTTTTTTTTATTCCAAGTGGCAAATAGAATATAGAAAGTTAGATTAAATACATGATCAAATCATAAGACATGAGATAATAGTTAACGTGGTTAACCATCATCTCATGCAAAAATGCTATAAAGAAATAAAAATAAAATAAAAAAAGGCAGAGGAACAGACATCAGATTTTAAGTAAAGGTGAATAAAGCAGTCAAAGTCCAAACAAACCAGATTTCAAAATCTCCAATCTCTAATTATAGTTATTTTATATATTTTATGTGCAACTCTTGATATTTAATCAAAACGTCAATAGTTTTAGAACGATAAAAATAAACCAAATGCATATTTCTCTCCATGGCATCTGGATGAGCTTTATTTTATCCTTTTTTTGTTTTCCAGGTATAAGACAGGGAAACTTAAACTTAAGCTAAATAACTCAACAGGTTATCTATAAATTAATCAATATACGTTTTTTTTTTTTTTTTACCCTTTAAAAATGCAAAGTGTTGTTAGAGATAGATAGATAACCTGCTAGACGTTTTTTTTTTCTTAATTAGTGGAAAAGCCGTGATAAGTAGAGATATTTTAATCTTCCTATTGACCCATATTTTGCTTCTAGTAATACTAAAGGACGCAGTTTGTTAAATATAAACTAGATTATATTAGCATATTTGAAAACACAAACAAAGGGTCCACCGCCCCTTTTATGACGCCACTTTGCTTTTTAACACAAACTAACGAGCTAATGTAGTGACTTTAAAGTTTTAGCTAAAGAATATCTCGGCAGAATGCAGCCTTTATGTGAACACCGAACAATCACCTACCTGCATGTTGGTGCCGTGAAGCTAACAGACGCTTTCAGTTGCTGTTGAATTCGGGTCCCATCAAAACTTTCAGCTGTCGGAGAACCGACGACCGAAGCTCCATCGACTGAATGCAGCCTAACCACAGTCAACACTGAACACAATCACAGCAGCAGGAAAGCGGCTTAACGCGTGACTTAAATCACCCGCAGAGGCTCACGGGTAATTGAGTTTTTACAGCCGTTACAGTCCAAGTAACAAACTAAGAGGGAAACAAAGCCTTGCAAATAAATGCCCTGAAAAACAGCTTTATATCATATTTTTATTATAAAATGAATGCCGCCTGATGCCTACAAAGCACAGGCAGGTTTAAGCAAAAGCTTCTGTTTTTTGTTTATGACGCCTTTACGTTTTTGCAGTCATAAACGGAAGTCATGTGATCCACGGAAAAGGCCGAACGTTTCCGGTTTATCGCGGCGTTTTGAAGTGGATCTGCTCCGTTGCATTTAGCCGGAGGTTGACCTGGCTGAAACGGTGAACTGAGCAGGAGGGTATTTACACCTCATTCCGTTTGTCTTCAAGCGCGCATTTTAATCTAAAATATGTGTTTATAATTATATCTTAATTAGTTATGTTAGTGAAAACTGATTAAAAATAGAACACTATTTAGAAATAAAAGATTCTAGACTTGTGCTGACATCATATACTTAAAAAAAATACACTTTACAAAAATACATTAAAAATGAATCTAACCTTCCGAATTTAAAGATGGTGTTTTAAAAATCCTCCATCATGATATTCTGGGATTTAGCCCATAGAAAAAGAATTGCTTTGATCACAGCCTTCTAAGTATAAATGGATAAAATTAATTCATAAAATTCATAAAAATCCACTAAGCTTTCATTCATTTTTGGTTAGTGTTTATATCTTGGTATAAAATTATTATATAATTATATTATAGAGCTATAATATTTTTTTTAAACTATGTTCATATTTGCAGAGAAAAATAAGCAAAATAAAATAGATTGCCTCCTGAAGTTGGGATCCCACTAAAAGGTAAACATAAGAAAAAAGAAAATCAAAAACTATCTTTGCACCTATATGGGAAAAGTTTGTTAAATAAAACTTAAAACTCAAATTCTGCATAGGACAGTGGCTGAAAACCCCCCTAGAAGTATAGAACACACATAACAGTGTTGTCATAATCTGTTTTATAAGGGTTTCACAATCACTAATTAGGGTATGAAAGAAAATAATTGTGCACCGTGGCAAATCAAAGTTTGGAAAGCTAATGAACTAAAAGCAAAACCAGAAAAAATCAGCATCATAAAATATTTCTCCCAGCACAAAGCAGATTATTTAAACTACAAAAACCCATCATGTGATCTTTATTATCATTTTATACAGTACAACCCGACTCTGCACTGTCAATGGAAACATTACATGTACTGGTTGAGTTGCTTTTCTCAGTATATCCAGACGGCACCTGTAAACGGTTTACATGTAAAAAAATACAAAACTAGATGCCACTTATTTACAAGTAAAAGAAAAATAAACAGAAAAAAACATAACAATGGAGTTTCATAAAGCTATAGTACCTTTTGGTAAAAATAAACAACTAAAAAAGGCAGCCAGAAATGATTTCAAGGAGCTGCTGCAGCACGTTAGGAAATGGGTGATATGTTTTCTAAAACGGGTATAAAAACAGAACTTTACAGATTTACGGTCCAGTGTCTGCTTCTTTAAGCTACATCAGTGCACTTGGCACAGTCCAGTGGGAATGTCCTTTGGAGAAATAAAATGTCCAGAACAGGCTAATGTCGAGTTAAATCCAAATGGTTTAAGGCATGCAGTCACATTGCTAGAGAAACTTTAACATAATTAAATCTGTTGGAGCGCTTCCCCTGTGTAAGGATGAATCTGAACCCCAACGAAGCACTGATTTCCTCTTTTCATAAATACAAAACTGACATCATCTGGTTTGTTATCAGAAAACAATGGGAATCACACCAAACATCATTTAGTACAGTAGTTGTGCTTTAGGTTCTCACATTAAGAGGAAGGGGCAGATCATCAAACAGGGTTCCTTCACATTTTAAAGCTCAAAATCCAAACACCTCAAAAATTTAAGCAATAATATGTGATGCTACTGGGTGCAAATTTTTACATTTGTTTTTTCAAATCAATTAATGCTCCCAAACTGGGCTAAAAAAACATGGATAACCTGATAATCCTCCATCATTAGGTCATTGAACACATTAAAAGCCCAAGTATTTTGCAGATATTTGTCATGCATTTAATTATATTATCTCACATAATCTTAAGATAATTGATTCTAAGCCTGATAAAAGCATTTTTTTTCATAAATTCAAGAATCCTGGACCTCAAGCTCCTTTAATCACATCAACCTCACTTTCTTGAGGTTATTTATCATCAAGAAAATCATGCACCAATTCTTATATATGACAGTTCTCATGATCTTGAGTTAATAAGATCTTGAGATTCATAAACACTGTGCAATTATTCTCAGATAAGACAAAAGATCCTTTTTTTTTTCACTCGAAGTTTAGAGACAATAAAGAAAAAGCCCTTTATGACCCAACAACAGTTAAATTAGGAAAAAAATAATATGATGAAGGCTTTTAAGCAAATAAGGGTTTATAGTTTCATACCTCATTTGTTAACTCAGTGTCTTGAGCAAACATTTATGATAAGCTACCAACTTCAAGCCCCGTTCCCTGCAATATTTTATCCTGACATGTATGAATGTTAAGCTTTTTTAATCACTTTACCATTTTGACCACATCATCTTAAGATAATATGATCCTGAGCTGTCTTTTGCGAAAAATAATAAAATGTTCCTCAAATCTCGATATAAGAGGTCAAATTCTATTGTTACAAACGGATCCTTTGGTATCATGATAGCGATAGCGAACAGGAGAGATGGTACAACAATAAAACTATTTATAGTTCACCATAAATACAAACGTCTTATCAGAAGGAAGTTAAATCTCCTTTTAAATATCGGTTTAGGTTCAGGTTTTGTTATTTTCTATAAATCTATTAAACATGGTATGTTTGAAAACAACTAATCTAGATCTAATGGTGATGTTTTATGATAAAAAAAAAAAAGAATATTACGGATATTCAGACTTATTTTACCTATCCAGATTTATTAAAATGTTTAAAACAAGTTTCCTGTTTCCATAATTTGTAAATTGCGTGAAGGAACCCTGTTTTGACAGCATAGTAGACCTGCTTGATAAGCAATCAGCAGTACAGATAGAGACATTTCCTCTAAACAACAGGAAACAAACTAATAAACAATCAGTCTTACATTTTACTTTCTTTTCCCTCTTATGAACACCATGAAAATAAAGATTTTTAATGTGCAAAAATACAACAGATATGTTTTATCTGCAAATGCCGGTTGCAGACATGAGCCAATATCTGTCGTGGAGTTTTTTCAAAGAAAATGATTTATAAAAGCAGGGAATAAAACAAGAGGAAAAGTAAACAGTTTAACACTAGAGGATGACACAGCAGCAGGTTAAAATGGAATTTAAAGCAGGAAAAAAGCTCAGCATCTAGTTTTTTTTATCGACTATCTTTTCACCCCTAAAACACACACAGACACACACACATATATTCAGGTGCTTCCTCTGAATTCATGCACTCAAACTCTCAGAAAGTGCTGCAATTGTGCACATTTACATCGTCATCTACACTAGATAAGCGTTAAGGCAACCAAAATGACCTTCAGGCTCCTTCAGAGGACAAGACCACAGCAGAAACCCTGATCTGGTGTGAATTACAGCAGACCAAACAGATGCAATGACTCCGTTTGGATGGCCGGATATGAGAGAACTGCAGATCTGAAGGCCAGTTAACAAAAAGCTTCTATCAGGACTGACCACAGGAGGGCGCTATCGGGTTTTTTCAGACTTGTTGAAGAAAAACTTGGCTTATTGGCAGATAAATTACCTTTTTAACCAACGCAAGGTGACAGAATGAAAGAGAATTTTTGAAAATGCTCAGTTTAATAAATAACCTCTCAATTTTTATTCATGGAGTCAGATTTGGTCGATTGTTCTGTTGATTGCTTTTCAATTAATACTCAAACTTATAGTAGGTCAGCATTTTCATTTAACCTTGATCCTTACTGATTATAATTCAGGCATTTTCTGTAAAAAAAAAAAAAAAAAAAAAAAAAAAAAACTGGGCAGAAATGTGTGGAAAAAGTAGAAAAACATACCAAAGAAAAAACAACCGTTAACTCCCAAAAAACCAGAGAATATGTTAATGCAGATGACTCTAAAATGTTACAGCACATTCTGGGAGGTTTAGAAGTAAATCAAAAGTTCAATTTGAGTTGGAATTTTTTGGACAGAACTTTGAAAGTGTGTTTTGATGCCAAAAGAATTCAATCTACTTGAACTGAGTTGAAACTAATTTAAAAAAAGCATTTTTGTAATTTCTCTTCCACTTTAAAGTTCTGTTCTGCTTTTTGGTTTGGTTTGTTATGGAAAAACCTACATAAATATCATCACGTTTGTTGCTCTAATACCACAAAATGTGGAGAAAAATTGAGATAAAACTAGAAAATCAGAGTTTCTTCAAAACATCCTCCAGAAAAGTGGTTTCTATTACATTCTGTACTTTTCCTCCTCTGTGCTGTCAGACACTGGATTGAGCAGAGAAACTGGCACGTTTAGCTCCTGGTTTACTTTTTATATCCACTATAAAGACAGCTCTGCCTGTTTGAGGATGAGGAAAGCTGGGAGCCAAACCCCCATCTGTACAGACTTGTTATAAGAGTCACATTGAGAGGTCCAATCAAAAACAATCAGGTGCTACAATTATTCTAAAGGCATCACAGAAGTAACCATCCACTGAAATAAAAACAGATTTTACACTCTTGAAAGAATAAAAGAGGTCCAGCGAAAGAATATACTAAATATTTATCTGATGAGTACTTCCTTTAGGCACGGTGTTCCCCTGTTGTGTCTGACGCCACCAGCTGTGACATAAAGGGAAACCACGAATCCCTTTAAATCCTCAACAGATACAATCCTTAGAGGGTCTGCAGGGTGAGGCCTTCGTTCCAGCGTCTCCAGGTTTTTTTTTTTTTTTATTAAAAAGGAGTGCATACAGATAGTGGCCGTGATATTTCGTTTCCAGCTTCCTCTCTACTCTCCACTGTTTATACTGGAGTCCACAGTGCTGCAGCTTTCTTCATAAGATGGAGGAGGTTCTGAAACACAGAAGCAAAGAGGGCGACAATCAGCCAAAGACTGAAGGGTTTATAAGTTATGGATGGATGGATGTACTGGTGGACAAATATGGTGTCAGATAACTGTAAATAAACATTCAGGCAGCAAATAACGATTATTTTGCAAATCGATTAATCTGTCAATACATATTTCAATTAATTGATTAATAAGCGGATAGCAAAAAGGTTCCTTAAAGAAGATTTTTTTACAAAATCAAACCAGGGGGAACTAAGAGGTTTCCACTGCAGGAGTTCTGATGAAACATATTAACAGAAGAACAAATGCAAAATCTTTAGATATTTTTCAATTTTGATATAACTGCTGCTCTATGTGGGTCGCTCTGTATGCTAAAGGCATGTTTTAGAGTATCTAAACTGCAGTTAACGATTAATCGATTACTAAATTAGTTGACAATTATTTCAATAATCGATTAATCATGATTAATATGATTAATTGTTTCAGCCCTAATGAACTGTTATGTGTAGATGTCTGAATTTGTCAATAAAAATTCAATAATGTAAATGTGGAGTGCCTTGAGATGACTTGTGTTTTGAATTGGCGCTATTTAAATAAACTGAATTGAATTAAATAAATATAGGATTTGTGCATGTTTCTTGTAGTCAATTCATAAAAACATGACATTAGATCTTCATCTATGAGAGAACAAATTTAACATTTATGAATACAGGTTAGGGTTAGAAGCTCAAATCTTAAAGGAATAGTACACCCAAAACATGATTAGCCTTCATTTTCTACTCACCCCCATGCTGAACAACACTCTGGAGTACTTTTTTGATATCTCAAATGCATCTGGAGATCTGGGAGGCTTCTTGCTGTCTGATGACATTCAAATAATGGAGGTCTATGGTGACCGAGACAGAAAGGTCCATAAAAGTCCACAAAAAACGTGTCAATATTCCTCCATACTGCTCGTCCAATGTATTCCAAGTGTCCTGAGTGGGTAGCATCCAGAATTTACTCGAAACGAAGTCATTTAGAATGTTTTTAGAGCATAAACAGTAGTGTATAGGATTTCCTGAAAGCGCGCACATGCGCGATCATGACGCTACGGAAGCCGGCAGACCAAACCAGATGAAAGTGCGCATTCAGCGTCTGCTCTTCCAATAATGCAAGCGTAGAAGAAGAAATGTGCCGTTTACCTGTGCAAAGAAAGAAACAACGAAAGAAAAATGTCTGAGGACTTCAGTGTTGAGGAAGAGCATGAGTTCTTTGCCGAGCTGAATGCGCTGGTTTGGTCTGCCGGCTTCCGTAGCGTCGTGATCGCGCATGTGCGTGCTTTCAGGAAATCCTATACACTACTGTTTATGCTCTAAAAACATTCTAAATGACATTGTTTCGAGTAAATTATGGATGCTACCCACTCAGGACACTTGGAATACATTGGACGAGCAGTATGGAGGAATATTGAAACGTTTTTTGTGGACTTTTATGGACCTTTCTGCCTCGGGCGCTGGGCACCTCCATTATTTGAATGTCAGCAGACAGCAAGAAGCCTCCCAGATCTCCAGATGCATTTGAGATATCAAAAAAGTACTCCAGAGTGTTGTTCAGCATGGGGGTGAGTAGAAAATGAAGGCTAATCATGTTTTGGGTGTACTATTCCTTTAAATTCCCCAAACGATAAACATGGATCACAATTTTACATATGACTCACAAATCTCATAAATGTGTAATTCCTATTTGTTAACTCCTGATTTGTGCTTGTAAATCTGTGAATTCGTTATTTGTACTGGTATTGTAGCAAAGTTGTAACTCTAATTTATATTCATATCGTGTAAACTTTGCCACAGGCAAGCGGCGGAGTAATGCATACTGTGCTTCACCATAATACTGCTGTGTGTGTAGCCCTGGGCAGCTTTTTAATCTCTGATGCGATTTTCCTTCACGCTACACAATGATTGAACTTTTCCACATTTGAGTGGGTCAGATTTTAAAAATGCTGCGAAAAAAATAAAAATAAAGAACTGACAGCGTGGCTACAAAGTTAGTTAATGCTTTTTTCCTTCATAGAGGAAAGTGATAAACTGGTCTTTCCTGCAATGTCACTTGTTTTTTTTTATTGTTCAAATAGGATCAATATTATATTTTTTCTCTATTTTCTGTCCTTCTCAACCCTTCTTGTAGCTAAATGATCCAGTTTATTGTTTTATTGATTGTTTATGTCCCAGTCTCCCACACCATGCTCTGTGTGATCCCAAACAGGACAAACCTGATTGTTTCCTCTTGGAATTGACAGATTTTATTTAGTATTTTCCCCTAAAGTGGATGTGTTTTTTACTTTATAATTGCTTCTCTCTTCCTGTCAGACCCATGAAATATCCGCTGAATTGCTGTGTAGTCCGACTAAAATAGACCAGTCAGAGCTACGCAAGCCCCTAGCAGGGAACCATGTCAGGTGTGTTCATCTCTATTCACTGTCAATGTGAGCGGAGCATCACAACCTCTTAAAACACAGTTTTCTGTCAGATTGGATGAAAAATCCTGTTTGTTGTATTCAGTGCTAACGGACCCCAAAATGGCGCCTGTTAAGAGACACGGTTAGTTGCTGACTTCATACTCAAGACCAACAGTCAGGAAGTAGAAGATGGAGAGAATTCAACATTAATGAACCAATGGTACTGAAGAGGAGGAAGCAAGAAGATGACCTGCACCGTATACAGGAAAAAATGTTTAAATCAGACCACTAATAGATGGAGAGACTGACATCTAACTGAAAGGATGGATGGGTTTTTAGTTGCTCACCGTGAGGGTAGTCAGAGCTGCTGTATTCTGGGGGAAGGATGAGAGAACAGGAGGTGGGGATTGGATTTACATCTCCCTCTGTGAAGAAAGGTATGGTGGCTCCAGTGGACAGGCAGAAGAGCGGAGCAGACGCATCGGGACGCCTGCAAGGTGGCATCGCTGCGCCCGGGGCGTGGCTGAAGGCGCTGGGCGACATGGTGACAGGTTGACCTGAGGGATCCTGCTGTGAGTGGCTTTTGGTGGGAAGCTCCTCGCTGGTGTACCCTCCGGCGCAAAGCCCGCCCTCTGGATCCTCCTCGACCGGCGGGGCGCTGGGCATCACTCCGGCAGCGCACGGTACCGGCGCCAAGGCGGGACTGGTGGCTATAGACCTGGCTGGGGACAAGTTCACGGGGATGTTTCCGATGAAGATCGGCAAAATGACGACTGCTTCTGGAGACTTTAGAGACACCTGGAACACAAAGTTATTCAGAGAGAAGAAGTTAAAACTCCAGACTGTTTAGGTTTATTTCAGAGTTAGAAGTTTAATGGAGAACATGGTGAACTTTAATACATTTATTATTTCACATCCAAAAGCAAAGTACAAACCTTACTCAGCAGCTTGTAGCAGTGATCTTTCAAAGAATCTTTTGTCTGATTTTATCTCACCTTTGAGGAGGAATTTTATTTTTCACCACTTTAAACCAACATTAAGTTAACTTTTCAACCTTTATAAAATAACTTCATAACTTTATGCGTCAACTTACAACTAGTTGAATGACACCTCTGTCATGACGCGAGGGCGTCTGCATCACTTTCACCAGCACTAAGCAACTCTGAGGAGGGGGGCAGTAACCCCGCCACACTAAACAATTACAAATGTGCAGCCTGCTTTACGGATTAGGTCATTTCCTCCTTTCCTTATTCGTTATAAAGATGAAAGTCGATGGGACTAAAATTCTCTATGAATTTGTATATTGTTTATTCCGGTTTAATTTCAGGCGGCACCTTCCTGTTGGGATCTAACGTGTGTTTACTGAGAAATCATGAAACTTAACATTATATTTATCTTTTTCAAGGCTCTCAGCGGTGAGTGAATACGGTACAAAACTAAAGTTAACTGTTTCTTACCGACATTGTTTCATCGCAGTTACATTAATTACCTCATCGCTGTTCATCTTTCACAGCTACTGGAAACAGAAATGTAGTTTATTCCAACTGCAGGTGACTGGGTGATCCGGAGTTTACACTGCTATGGTCTTTACCATGCTGTTCCTTATGGGAAATGTTTTTCTTCAGGCAAAACAATATAGATTTTGTCCACTAGGAGAGCCAACGTTGACCAATAGTTCTTTAGTGCTGCTTTAAATTAGCCTTGTGAGACCATCCTGATCTCGCGAGCTTTCAAGGTTTCACTCGCAGATCAGCGCGACAGTTCAGTCTAAGGAACATGGCGGCTTCAGCCGATGAAACTAGCGTTAGCGTGGCTATCGAGCAAGTTTTATCGGAATTACAGAGTATTTCTTCACTGAAAGAAGAGCAAAACACTGCTCTGGAGGCTTTTCTCAGAGGAAAAGATGTTTTTGCTCTTCTCCCGACTGGTTTCGGCAAGAGTTTGATCTATCAATTGGCTCCTCTTCATTGTCGCTCTGTTAGTATGTCATATGCTTCGTTGATCTGATTGGTTTATTTGGCCCGTCTATCACCAACATAGGCCAATCAGCTAACCAGTATTTTCGCCCCTTCCCAAAATTACTTCAACGGAAGGTTTCCAGATGGATATGCGGAGCAAATCCATCTGGCGGAGTCAGGTTAGCTTTAAATAAGGTTAAGGTCTGGACTTTAACTGGACCATTTTACCACCTTGATTCTTTTGGGGGTTTTTTGGACTTCCTGATGTGGGTTTGCTGCTGGTTTTTTAAACATTTTCCAGTTGATGATCATCTTGGAACAATGATTGAACTACATGATCATCTAGTTCTCACATTTGACTTAAGACACTTTGGTTTCCAGGAGATTCCTAGAGTCTGATGAATGCAAAGTCCTTCGAATGCAAAACAAGCCCAAACCATCACCCCTCCACCTCCATGCTTAACATTAGATGTTGGGGGTGTGCTGGTATGCTGTGTTTGATTTTTTTCCAAATATGATTGAGTGCATTATGGCCAAACATCTCCCTGGAGGACAATGCTCCAGATGTCTTGTTTTATTCACACAGATACAACTCTGCAAAAAGCAAGCCCACAATTTAGAGCAGGGGTCACCAACACGGTGCCCATGGGCACCAAGGTGCCCTCAAGGACCACATGGGGGGCCCTCAGAGTCTTCTATATAAAGAACAACCCACCAGTGGGCTAAGTTTGAAATTTTATTTTATTCTGTTGCTCTTCTTTTTAATAATTTATAGAGATTTCAAAATGACAATGTCTAAATAAACTTAGAAATTAACAGAAATAATAAAAATATGTTGAGTTTAAGCTAAGGCTAACCCTTGCAGTTCATGGGTCAGTAATGGTTGACCTTCCTAAGTCACGGCACCCTTGAAGTGACCCTCAGCCCTAAAAAAGGTTGGTGACCCCTGACTTAGAGCAAACAAGCTTTTTCTTTCAACTCCTTAAAATGTTTTTAATACATGTTCAGTCTTTTTGTTATTGTTTCATGAATCCCCATGATAACATTTTAAATGAGGCCCATAACATCTGAGCTCTTTTTTCTATTATTGCTGAGCTCTGCAGGGTCTGAGCTTAGAAATGATCTTAGATATGAGCTTCTGTCCTAAAGGTTTGTCACTTGTCAAAGTTTCTCTCTGCAGAATGATGGATTTCAAATAGTCTGAAGAGCGTCTTCAAGCCCTTTCCAAATCAATCAGACAACTGTCGCTTCTCTTCGATTTCATTTTTTTCTCTCCACCTACACACATTTTTACCTCATTCTGTGAAATTGTAAAAAAGTTTACATTATAATACATTCTCCAAATGTTGGAAACATTTGTAAAACAGATATTATTTTATGCTACTCTTGGTCACAAATCAAATCCCAAGAATATATACTAAATGTGAAGAAGTCCAAAGACTACAAACACTACTAACACAGTACTATAATAGTAATAGACTGGAACCTTAAAGGGTAACGCCGTTGTTTTTACATTGGGCCCTTGAATTTACATTATTACATCATGTTCTTCTCACCCATATGAATTTTGTGTCATGTGGAGCTGTTCTGAAGATATTCGGTTAGGTTATATCCAGGTAACGTCTTCCTATGGGCAATGACTTGAAGGCACAAACTAAACTGTTCATAATTTATCATTTATGGTACGCCAGCATTCATGACATGTAGGTGAATCACTGTCCCCCAGACATCCGTGGTTATATTTTTTATATTTATATTTTTTTAAACAAAGCGGAGTGTGTATGACGTCATCCACGTGCAGATGGTTATAAAAAATATAACCGTGGATAACTGGGGGACAGTGATTCTTTAAGTGAGCTGATCTGTGAATAATATCAGTAATTCAGTACTTTCTATTCAGAGGGAATCCATACTATAGAAATTATATTTACAGTCGTGTTGGCTGCTGTCCTCTGAGAAATTAAACAGCCCAAAAAGATAAAAAAAAAAAAAAAAAAAAGTTTCCAAAAACACATTTTAGCAGGTCAAAGAAAGTGCCTAAAAGACCTTTGAAGCAGCTGGTATTACCTGAATGAAATACTGGATGTCTATCAGGCGACAGCAGGCCAGGGCTGACTGAGGAAGAGGAGGGACGATGATCTGCTCCCTCCACTCTGCGTGTTTTCCGGCCTTCACTCCGGCTCCCTCCACCTCTGCAATGGTCCGCAGGTCGAAGACCGGCCGCTTGGTCCTGTAGGTCACTTTCTGGAGAATAAAGAACACTTTAATACGAATCTGGATATAAACAAAAATAGATCTAAAAGGAAACTAAAAGTTTTATTCACTGGTTATGCTCAATACACTAATGTTTGATTTCTATTCAGATAAAAACAAAGATGCTGCAGTCAAGATGATGGGAAATATTTAGGACAAACTTACCTGCATGAGACTAGCCAGCACGTAGCCAGTGTCTTTCCCGGACTTATTGTGGATCTCTGTGGATAATTTGATGACCTGACCAGGGATGTAGCCCCTCAGGTCGCTGCGGGTTTTAAGCATCAGGGTCCCTGTCCTCACCAGGAGGTAGCTAAACTTCTTGGTTGTTACGGCACAACTCTGTTGCTGTAGGAATCAATTTACAGTGTAAATATTTAGATTATTATTTTTTTTATTAATACATAAATATAGTAGGACCTCTTTTATTAACAGGACATTTCTTGGCCCGACTGAAAAAAAACATTTTTAGACCAATATCTGTGCTTAGATGTTTTTCCTTTCTTTGACAGAATCACAGCAAAACCTGGTGCTGCTTTTAATACTGTTAATGCAGTTTGTTTAGAGCTTAAATCTGTGCCCTTAATCTCAGTTTCTATGATTTAGTATTTCTGCTTGCTGTAAAAATGCATCAACAGAACTATTGCTGCCATTTATTTTTATATATATTTTATATTTTTTTCCTCCCATAGAAAGTACGCTGGCCCAGATTTTCTGTGTTCAGATCAGTGACCTAGTTCACTTACTATGTCAATATTTCTATTTTTCAAAGGTAAAAATATCAACCCATCATTTTTGTTTTTTTCGCATAGAAAGTACCCCTGCCCAGTCCTTCTGGGTTTAAATCCTACTTGTCTTTAAGGCATTACTGACAAAGTTGTTGCCACTTAAATACAGTTTATACTATTTATACTGTATTTAATTAGTTTCACTTGCTTATAAAAAGTACCACTGGCTCAGTGATTCTGTGTTAAACACTGCCTCTTTTCTGAAGTGAGTCTTTCACGAGAATTAGGTCACAACTTACTATGTGAACTTTTATTTGCATCAAAGTACTCCTAGCATAGATCTCTGTATTTACATGTGTTGTAACCTTGTGTGCTGTTTGTAAACACTTTCTGTAGAAAGTGCTACAGGTCCAGATTTTCGGTCATTGACAAAGATTCTTTTAATGTCTGTTTGAGTTTCTTATTTCTTTTCAAAAATATTTCTCATTCAAAGTTTGAGTGTTTAGCATTCCATTTTTACTTGATGGACTCATTAACTATGCATATTCTTTGCCCTTTTCCATAGAAAGTACACTCAGCTCAGAGATGGTGTAAAAAAGCATGAAAAAAGTGGGTATCTCTGTGCTCAAGGTAAAGCATGCTTTCCGTTATAGGTGTGATTTAATAGGATTTTAACCCTTTTTTTTCCTGTAAAGAGCCTTGAAAGGAAGTTTGTTGTTGATTTATGTTATTTGAGTGAGAAGTTACAGGTGTAACCTAAACCACTCACTTCGATGTCGGGAACCTCGTTGAGGTTGAGCATGTTCAGAATGTAGAAGGGCCTCTGAGCTTTGTAGTCTTTGGAGAAGCGGGGAGTGTCGATGGCCGCTCTCACGCAATAAACCACCTTCCCATAGGGTCCTTCGAACGACGTGGGGATGGCGGCTGAAATAGTGAATATTAAGAACAGAAATGGTTAGGTGTGTCTTTTCCCATCATAAAGAGATTTTAATATCATTTAGAGCATTTAAAGGCTTCTAATTGAATCAATCGGTCAGTAAGACATGTAGATGTGTAAAATACAGGAGATAAAATGTTCAACCGTCTTCTTTCCTTTGCGATTTTCATAATAATTAATTCATCCTATCCGCTGAACTGCTGCTAGTTTTACTCACATGCCTGGAAGATGTCTAGTGTTACTACCACAGATCACCTTCAACTTGTTGCCCATATATTTGGATATAACCTTACAGAATATCTTTGGAACGGCTCCAAATGACACACAACTAATATGGGTGAGTAGAACATGATGTAATAACATAAAATCAAGGGGCCAATGTAAAAAAAAAATGAAATTGATAGACCATACTTTTTACAACTCTTCTTCATTAAATGCCATCTGGGAATCAAGGTAAATTCATAGAGAAAAAAACAACCTACAGTGTACGGCTGTCACTGAGAACAGCACATTTGCTGTTAAAAGTTAGCAGTATCTGAGTGACTTCAGGAATTTCTTCAGCCCTCTGGAAAATTCAGTGCAAATCATCTGCCCTCTCTGTGTTGATATTAGTCTAAAACTCTACATTATGTAATATAACATCTTCTAATGTCCTGATTTGGAAGATCTTCATCCCATAGTTCATTGGTTCTGTCTTACTAAACCATAGTTCAATAGTTTATTAAGACAGAAGGAAACAGGTTAATCCACCAGCAGGGGGCAGCCTGAGTCCCTGTGATCTGGACCCTTATGTCTACATGGTGGTTAACACAATCAGTGCTGATATTCTTGCGAATGGTGGCTTCTGAGAAGCACAACAATCTTTCAAACAGCGATGATACAGAGGGATAAACGGCTAAAAATGACGAGCTGGAGCCCACTTATGCAGGAGAAAGCTAAAATCACTGGACAGTTTTGTGCTTTAACTCCAGCAGCATTAAATGTGCATTTGTGAGAAACTTTCTTGTTGAATTAGGATGGAGAGTCATGCTGAGAACATTTAAAAGCAAAGTTTCTCCACCCAGATCTTTTAAACATTAACTAACTGTTACCCTTCCACGTTTATCTAATGTGTGACTAATCGGCGAAGTACAGGAAGGTCTCTGTGCCGAACACTTTGTAAATTTACAGAGGTTGTCACCTGCATATCTTTACTTTTAACTGATGTCAGCTGTTTGATTGATAAAGAAGTTCTATGGGAAAACATTTACGGGAACAGAGGGCACGCCTTGGACAGGCAAGACTTACCTGGAAGGACGAACTGGAAACCGAAACTGTGCTCACCCGGGGCCAGGGTTCCTGTAAATGAAAATAGTTTGAGTAACAAACCAGATGTGAAATGAAAATAAAAATAACATCACAGTTCTTACACATTTTTATGGAAGAATATCAGCCCTTTGGAGCCTGAACTGTCACTATGTATGTTTATTCATACATTTATCCCGGGATTGACCTGGGATTTGGGAGATTAGAACCTACAAAGAGAGAAATGAGAGGACGGAGGAATGGAGGTAGAACACAAGGGCAGAAAAAATGGATGGAAAGGCTTCAAGAAAGAAGAAAGGAAGCAAGGAAGGATACAAAGAAGCAACAGCAGAAGTGTATGAGTACAAAGCATTTAGGATGTGGGATAGGAAAAAAACAAGGAGTCTACAGACACCTACGTTTCTGAAAAGCCAAAAAAGTGGGTGTTAAAACCGTTGCCTCATTATAAAATGTCACTGTTGAGATTTTAGAAGATCAATTTCCTATTTTCCTAAAAAGTCTGCTTTCCATGTATGAAGGTCTAACCCCCAGATTGCACTGCGTCTGCTCTGGAAGGGCTGGACAATTTATTGCATCTGAGGAATAATCACAATTTTCCAAACAATTTTAGAATCACACAGGCACTCAGTGTTGGTCACTGCACTACAGGTCATTCCATTTAACAGGAGTTGGACACAGACTTTCTCACTTCAGCCCTTTAAATGGCAGTAACACACTTCAAGTGGGTTTGTCGCCATGCAGAAGGAACGAGTTGCAGCTAGCATACAGATCTATGCAAGATTTGTATGCAGTAAGGTACAGTGACAGTGGGTCCTGGACAGTCTAAAGGTCATGAAACCAATAAAAGCCAAAAAAAAAATCTATGTTAGCTTTTAGTGCAGAGGAAGATAAAAATGTAATCATAACTGCAAGTCTGGTTATTATATATATATATATATATATATATATATATATATATATATATATATATATATATATATATATATATATATATATATATATATATATATATATATATATATATAGGTTTGGTTCGGTACATGTTGATTGTTAGCCTGACATGTTGGTCGTGTTGCTGTTAACATAAACAAAACGTGTTGCACAATGCTTGCACACTGTTGCACTTTTATCCACAACTTTCTTTCCGCCGTCATCGTAGGTCACTCTAAATGCAAAGCGCTCCCATACAGCAGACCCATAAAGTGCTGCTGGCGCGTCTTCCAACTCCTGTTCTTTCCCACTCACCGTACCCACACAATTCTCCACAACAACTGATTTTTTTCTGCTACACCCGGCTAAGCTGCTTCGCTTCTTCTTCTTGTTTACAACTGGTGGTTGGCTTTGGTCGCAGTACCGCCACCTTCTGCTCTGGAGTGTAAACGCTTCGCCTATGAGAAAAATGAGCAGCACATGAACCGAACGCAACACACGCGAATCGAACCGAGACAGTCGAATGGTTTTCATAAACCCTTCCATCCCTAATATATATGTATATATAGATATTCGAGGAGTGTTTATACTGCCTCTGAATGAAAGCACAGCAGAGGCGAACAGATTCAATACGATTCTACTTCTGCTGGACACCAAAGCCAGCTTGCAGTTTATCTATGTCGATCACAATGCATCAAGATGATACTCAACAAACACAGTTGGAATCTTCCAAAGGGGGATTTAAATAAAAAACTAACAAAAGATTCTCAGTTAATGGTTTATTGGATTACAATAGCACCCATTCAGCCATGCTGCGTGGTGAAGCAGCATCAACTTCTCTGCTGTGATCAGAAGGTGAAGATGTGATGATAGAATAGTGAGGGGTATAATGCAGAACATTTATAACATACTTGCTAGCAATAAGCATGGTGTATAGATAAGCTTTTGTGAGTTAATTCACTTCATGGATTATGTCAATTTTCTTTTAATAATTTTACATCTGTTTATTGGAAATTATGTGTTTAAAATAATGTATTATTTTGTATTCAGTAACCTAATAGGTTGCTGTTTTGCTATGTCTTAAAATATGTCAAAGTTTAACTATGTAAAAGAAAAAATTATTTTGTTTAACAAGTCAGTATTTAATACAGCTGGCACAATGCTATGGTAAAACATAAGGAATTAACTCAGCAAAAATGTAGCCTGAAAGAAAAAAACAAACAAACTCTGGCTTAAAAAAAAAATGGCTGCCTATTATTTTATCATTGGTCAAAAAAAGAGATCAACCAACTTTAGATTCATTAGTTAATCAATTACATTACTTCCCTACATTCAAATAACTCCCTGAACACAGACTGTTTTCTTGAAAACCTTAATATTTTAATTAATATTTATGCATTGTTGCTATCTAGATTGATCATCAGCTTCTAAGTGTGCTTAACCTACCGTAGGATTAAACTAGTTAAAATGCCTGATAGCAAAAACCAAAAGCAAGGCGGCTTAAAGATTTTCTCTCTCTCTATTTTTTTGTCTGACTTATGAATTGATTAACAGCTTTTATAAACACTTCCAGTATAAATTAGGAGTGAAATTAAATGTGTGGAGGAGAGATGCAGGTAGTGGAAATCTGGGTTAAGAGGAAATATCCAAATTCGATACCGCTGCTACAGTCAGCTTTTTCAAAAGGCCCTGATACCAATAATCACCGTTTCTACCTTAGCACTTTTTTTGAGGGGAAACTTAGCCACAAGTGTAAGGTAAGCATCTCAGTTACTCAAATTAACACCCTACAGTGAATCTACTATGTAAGCAGATAACAGGGATAAAGATGTTTTAAATATTTTTCACATTTGTTTTCGAGATCATTTAATTTTGTAAGTTAGTTTCTAATCCAGACATAAAGAGTCAATAAACACTTGTCACTAGGTCACATGTGGAGAACCTTCACCCTTGCCGATTAATTCTCTGGAGGAGCTGCCAGCCCAATTAAATTCTTCCAAACAGCAACAAGTATCGTCTTGATAGAGACAGGAACACCTTTCTCTATAAGTCTGGATCTACTTAGGAAAGCTAAAATGTTCCTCTCTGTGTTCAATTATCTTGTGTTTACTGTTTAAAGAAGCCGAGATGCTTTAAAATACAATCCGAAAAAGCTCCGCAAAGCAATCACAGAAATGTCTACCCTATTGATTTTAAGTGTTTGTGGTGGCACTATATTTCCAAAATTGAACATTTAGGATAGCAAGTAATATGTTTTATTCACTAACTTGTTTTTAACTCAAATAAAGCTGTAGGTAGGTGCCCTCAACGCTTAAAAGCCATAGTATGTGACCTTTAATGTAAATGGTAAATCATATATTAGATTACCAAACACTGTATAACTGTTAATTGGAAACTTTTAAACTTGGCATTTATTCAAAATGAACTTGGTTATACATATGTTAAAAAGAGAAATAGTTGAAGTGCATTACAGGAATACTTGTAAATGCAACAGTTTTTCTGCGGCAGATGATGATCCTGGGGGTGTTTTTTTGAAGAAAAAAATACTTTTTTTCTTCAATTAACACAACAAAAATGATGAGTGAGTAATGACACATGTCACACAGCTCTCATATTAAACAAAAAAATTATATTTATTAACAAATCAAACAAAATAAAAAAAAGAGAGGGACCTGCAATGCATGTGCTGTATGTGACCGCTAGCAAACGCTAAAAATAAAGCAGATGTTTTAAAAATAAAGGCTTCCCTTTTTTTTTTTTCTTATTCCTACAGACTTCAGGGCAAGAAAAAAATATTTGTGTAGGTCATTAACAGAAAAAAGCAGCTAGGATGCAGAGCAGGGACTGCAGTCAGTGATCTTCATTTGTCTAACTGTCAAGTATCTGTGTCACACCACAGTATCAGTCATACAGATTAGACTTCTTTCGGAGGGGAGGTGGGTGTGTGTGTCTGGATGGGTGCTCTTGAAGTATGGGTGTGTGTGTGTGCGATCACACTCAGTCACCCTTCTTGTGTCACTCTGAGCCCTCAGATGCCAAATTGCCCATTTTTGGAAAGAATTGGAATACAGAAAAAAACACAAAGACTAAAAAGAAAAGCACAGGATGTGGGTGTGCTTCAAGTTATGTATGTCTTCCTCCTTTGAAGATTGTCTGGTGTTTCACATTTCCCTTTTTCACACTTGACAAGTTAAATGAGATCTTTTGCTGAAAATCAGCACTATGATACCAGAAGGCTTTGTTGTATCTGACAATAATTCCCTACACAAAAGCTTACGTTTCTCATATTAGGGCCGAAAATAACCATCAGCGGGTAGCATGCTAAAAACATTAAGACAGAAGTTTGCTCCAAATATCAAAGTTTGCTGTAATTGGATTGTTTGAACAGTTATGAGCAATATGTTTTCCTACAAAAAGTACACATTTAGAGCAAACTTAGTTTAGAGAATAAAGGAGAAAATGATATGGAAGAGTTAAGCTAGTGGGTGTTTAAAATTAAACATTAAGCTAAGAGCCACCCAAGCAAAACATCAAGCCAGAGGCTACTTAACAGTCAACAGTTACTCAAGATTAGAGACAAACAAGGTACAAATAATCAGAAAGCTATTCAACCCAAGAACCAAACTAACAGTTACTTCAGCTAGAAGTCATGCTAACCGCTATTTAAGCTATGCATTTAAGAAGTCATAAAGAAGAGTGCCTCAATCTAACATCCAAGATTTAAAACTGCTCAAGCTAACAGTAAAGGCACTGACACTGGAGCTAAAAGTCAAGCTACACGACCAAAGAATATGTTATGCAATGAATATGCAAACAGAAAGCTAAGAACCTATCATGTGAAATGCTAAATTCACTGATCCCTTATCAGAAAAGCTTAAAATGTCCTTCAGATTTCTTTCTAATAATACTGAGATCTTTCTGTCTCTCATCTGCAACAGGTTTAATACTGAGGCTAACAGGTGAAGAAGGGTCATGGGCTTTCTCTATTTTTTTCTCAGCTCACATTACCTTTGCTGATTGGTTAAAGCCTAAGCAATTTAAACAATAATCTAATCTTTGGGATTATGTTCAAGAAAAATTGAAAAGATATTCCCCAATAATTAAAATAAATCATAGCTTTCAGGGCAGGATGTTAAAATAACAATATCTCCATATGAACTGTACCAAAGTTAAAGTGTATAGTTAAAGTACCAAAGCGCAGACTCTTGAACGTTATGCCAAAGTTCAACCCTTCAATGTATTTTCTACCAGGTAATCATTGAACGTTTGTGGGCCATTTTAACACGTGTTGATTATGAGCTCTAATGACTTTCCTCTAGATCTTTTTTAAGAATTTATTTGTACAAAACGTCAACATGATGTCACATTTTGCCTTCTAGTTCTCCTTCTCTTATTTTTCAGCTGTGTGGGGTTTAGCAGTGCAGTGTTACACGGACATCCTCCAGAATTTAAGACCTGCACTTACCTTGTCTCAGGTTTAAGGGTAATTATGCCATAATAAAACTGAACAAACCGCAGTTCAACAAGCTACACTTTTCAGTATTTTCTACTAATTCTAACCTCTTGTCCTGAAACTGTAATCTTGATTACAATGCTAATTGTGTTTGACAAAGATTGATGGATTGATTACACATTCAATTATTAGATTTTCTTTATGAAGCTGTAATAACTTTAACCCAAACCTTAATTGAATGTTTCATAATTTGTGGATATTTTCTTTAATTACCTTTATCAGCCACTGATAACATGCTGTTTAAGTACTGCTCCTCCAGACTCCACGAAGAGTCGTTAATTTTGTTGGAGATCCCGCATAAGCCCAGACAGTTCACCTTGATGGCTGTGGAAAGAAAGGACAGAATGAGTCATTTAAATGTCTTTAGATGTGTGTGCTCACACTTACACAGAAGACTAAAGCTTTTGTGTGATGGACGGTAAAAAACCAACTTGTTCTCTTCATTTATTTGAGTTTTTTCTTCAATAACCTTGGTTGCTTTTTAAAGGAAATAAAGTTCAGTGACAACGTTTTTAATAAACCTACACAGCAACAGCAATAGACTGAAAGACCTAAAAAAACAAAAAAAAGCTTTTCAAGCCTCAGTCATTGTACATGTTTTCTAACTAGAGTGGCATAGACTGACATTTAACCATAATAGTCATTGCACTAATAATATGTCCAAACTTACAAACATCAAATGATGCATGAATTAGGGCCGATTTAATTTGACAGAATATGCAAGAACAGATAATATTGGTGAAATTAAATAAAAAGAACCTTCAATCTAAATTTCTTTTAAGAAAGTGTTCAAATATAATATGTGAAAAGCTATGAGACAAACTGAATCATTGGACATATTGAAGTTTAGTTGCCCTTGTTTTAGCAAGCTGAAATGATGAGAGAACAGATAATATTACATTTTGTTTTTTTTTTTGCATATTTTTTTTTATACAATCAAAAATTATTAAATACAATTTTAAAATCACCATTTCTGGATCAGCTTGTACAACAAAGTTAAACAAGTCGAAATAGAGCAAAAATATTGAAATTTGAGTATCCTAGAAGCAAAGTGAAATGCAAATGGGCATAAGGAGGTGAATTCAAAGGTAAAATAAAGAATAAAAAACATACAAAGCAAAGATAAGAATAGAATTCAAATTAATATATTGATCAGATGTGATAAAAAAAATATGTATAAAATAAACAATTATAAATTCAATAAAACAAGACTGGTTTCCATGGTGACCCTCTGGGGGGAATGGCCCCGATGTCACTCATTCAAGCTTAATGTAATGTTCTATAAGGAGTACCCTGGCCACCAGGGGCTGACCTACGATCCCAAACCAGAAATAAAAATATTACACCAATATTTTAAATAAAACAGAAATAATGTCAGATTTGAAAAAAGTGGCAGTCATCACATGACGGTATCTCAGGGGGATTTTTTATATTCAGTTAAGAAAAAGTTTGGGTTAATTCTTTTATCGATTTGTCCAAATACACAAAAAGAAAGATTTTAAGTCTTTCTGCTTTGGATTTAAAAAACATAGTGTTTGGATTTAAAACTTGCTAAAAATTCAGTCTTAATAATCTAATACGGGTTTATCCAAGAAGTTACTGCAGGCAAACATCTACAGTTCTGGCACTGAAAAAAACTAAGTTTTTTACAGAGCTAACAATCTTAAAAAGGCATCTGCCTTTTAAAATGTGTATATCCCACATAAGACAAACACCATGATTAATATGGTATAGATATAGGATCTATTAGCCAACATTTATGGCAGTTCTAAGCAAAATTAATATTGTGTGCATATATATTCTGCTCATTAGTTAAAGGAATCAGTAAAGTACCGAGGTATTAATGTTAAAAGTGAAAGTGGCGTCTGCAGTGTCCACCAGAAATGTGAAAACAGTGTCAGTGAGCGTCAGAAACATGGCTGCATGCCTGCAGAGGGAACCCAGCCAGCCTCTTCCTGTGATTCTCCCTCATCATGTCTCTAAATCTATCTCTGAGGAAACGATAACCCTAATATTTAAATACACCCAAACACTATTAAAGTGACAGACACAGCAAGATGGTGGTACACAATACAGAAACTATTGTTCTCAATGTTTAGCACAGATTTTTATTCCCTTAGGCTCTTGTATTTCATAGCAATACTGGGTATGTTACTCCTATGTATCACCATTTAACAAAAAAAATTATTGGATGTCAAAAACAGTATTTGGCATAATTAGTTTGCAAAGGACTTCTACAATGCTCTGAGATAAATCCTTATCTTCTCTCACATTAAATATTTTAGCTGTACAGCATTTCCATTTTGATTTAATAATCTTAAATTGCTCTTTTAAAAGACAGAAGCCACAGAAACACCCTGCAGACTCTGATCTAAAAACGGTCCTGGCTCTAACGGTCTCTGTCCAACCACAGTCACACCCATGCAGGTTTCTGTGCTGCCATCACACAGTTTACACACTCATCCCGAAAATGGCAGATGGCTTAGCAGTTTTGCACCAGTATGGCTGCTGGCAGACTTAACAGTCAGAAGGACGCTTGGCAAAAACAAAAGAAAACCATGCGGACATTTTTGTGTGTGTTTACTTTACAGAGGAAAAGAGGCTGTAGCAGAAGGAAATGCTGTGTACAGCTTTCTGTTGTGGGAGAGAGAGGAGCTCAGCCCATCAAAGGTCAGTACAGCCGTAATCTGATGTAATATCTCCAGCTGTAGCAGCAGAAAGAACAGCTGCAGCAGAGCTGAATGTGAATGCTGGACATTTACAGACGTATTAGATGGGAGCAAGAGCCACATTTGAGATGCACTTTTAAGGCCAAAACTACATTAAGTCAGTAAAATATTGCACCGTATTGAGGAGCTAACCGGGCCCACTAATCGAAACGCTTTGATTTGGAAGTTGTTACTGAGTGAAAAATGACATGGTCGTCAATACGGGCGGCCTGGGTTTGAATCCCAGCTGTGTTTGGATGGGCATCCAGTGTAAAAACTGTTAACTTGTTAAGGCTGATTTATACTGCGAAACTAGGTCGTCTGCGTAGGTGTCGCAGTGAACGCAGGGACATCCCCACCTCCCGATTTGTAGGTGACCGCCGCAAACAAGAGGCCTCTGATTGGTCAAATTTACATTCATTCTACCCTATGCATATTTCCTGTTTGGTACCTTACCGGCTTGTTTTGTTTGTATGACCGCCATTGTGGAAAACAACTCGTGAAGTTGGCCAGCTAGAGAGCGAGGTGCGCAAAATCGCTGGGACCGTTTTTACACCTGGATTCCTGATCTGTTTTCGCCCTCCGTTGTCGGACAAACACCCCCCTACTTCCTCACCGCCTCGACTGTATCTTGACCGTATCTCGACCCACAGCTAGTTCACAATTGTCCCCCTTGCGTTGTGGCGTGGAATAACATAGCGCAGACCACGCTACAATATTGAGCATAAATCAAAAATATCTCACAAGCTCACTGCAGCTACACTGCTGCGGGGAGTATAACTAGCCCTTTGGAAAGTTGTAATAACTTGCAGTTCTGACCCCTGAATACAGGAGCAGCTAAAAAGGACACATAATTAGCATGGTTAGCACTAATGTAGGATTTAATGTAGAAACTTATGTTAATTTGGGGATCTCAAAAATTGCTGCCAGATTGTCCAAATTCAACATGTTCCATCAAGTTAAAACCGAGTTCCTACATCTTAAGGCCAGTTAATCTAAATAACTGTTTTATGCCATTTGAAAATAAATTTAAGACCACTGTTTCCTTGGTTTCACTATTGAGGTTATGTGACAATACCATGGGATGCATTTGATCATTTATTTTCAAACAAATAAATTCTACAGTTTTTATTTAGATTTGAGACCAACAACATCTGTTTACAACATTCTAGGACCTTTGAAAGATGTATTTAAGACATTATAATGCCAATTAAGGCCTTATTTTTAGATTAATAAATTCAAAGCCTTTTAAGACATTTTAAGGATCCGTGGGAACCTTGTAAAACGCACTACATTTAACCTTCCTTTGACGTGTTAATAGTCTAAGGCTTAATCTGAATACTTTAAAATTGTAGCTCCAATCAGTTCACCTTTCATGGTGTCAACGGTAGGAAAACTATCTGGATCGCTGAATCCAGGCAGCCTTTAGCCTTAAAGACAACATTACACAATGGAAACACACAAATGTTGCTTATGAAATTGGGACTACAGCCTTCTGAGAAGAAAAAAAAAACGTACACAAATGTGGTAAACAGCTGAAGCTCTCCATTATTAAACTCTACACATATAAATGTGTGAGCTAATAATGTTCTATTAAACTCCTTGTGGTGGACTTTACCCATGTGTCCCATCAGGCAAAGGATTGTTGGCAACTGTATAGCTCCTATGCTGTGGGTACGGACATCAGGAGGTCCTTAGGCTAAATTAATTGGTGCTAGGAAGAATCCTGTTTCTAGTACTTTCCTTACTACCAGCACTATTCGCACAGCACCTATTAAAGAGTATTGGGTACAGGACAGAAAAGCTGCACAGAGTAAATGTAGCAGAAGCTTTTTCAGCAACGTAAGTTTAATGTATGCCAAGGACATAGATCAGGCGTAACAAATTAGGAAAATAAAGAAAATCATCAACCAGTACAGGTCCAGAGACATTTTTAATTATAATCTGTTACTTTAAATAGAATTTAAGACTGAAATAAAATGAGGTTTTTCAGCATCTATGTTATAAACTGACTTTTTAAATAAAAAAATATGAAAAAAAATAGAAAATTTATCCAATTTAAAATCTAAAGTGTTTTTTGAAGCAGAGAACAACAATCGTTCAGTTTGGTATATAGACAATTTCCTGATTCACATATTTTATAAAACACCTGAACTGACCATTTGTTAATTCTTTATTTTTTATGGCTTAATTAGAGAAGTAGGCTTTAAGCTGCCCTGCAAGGCTTTAAACCTGGGTTTGAATGGCGACAACGCCATTCTCAAGCACATATCAAGGTGCTCATTCATGAGCCTGGATCAATATTTATTTTTGATTCTGTTCATGGTGGAGAATCCTGCTTCACAGCAGCAGGTTGAGCCAAACATACTCGCTAAGTGGTGTAATTAACCCGCTCCGGCCAGGTCAGGATCCACTATTGCAATCGCACCAAACAGGAAAAAGAATGGCGAGAAGATCCGGTTTGTCACATTTAAATACAATAACAACAGATCGGTAATAACTACAATTTAGAGCATAATTCTTCTATATTTCGTTTATTTAAAAGATTGGATGCAAACTATTCGTACTTCAACAGACCAGGAAGCAGATTTCTCTTCTCCATCAGAAACCGCACAT